GTGATGAGCAAAGACAGCTACCAGGTGAGCTTACATTGGAGATAAGATAGGTTTCTGAATAGAAAAAGTACATTTCAACCAGCTTTAAACCCTTATTGCGTTGTTTATTCTCTGCATGTTAAGATGGACATTTTGATTTTAGCTATGTTATAATAAGGAGATTATTTACTGTACATGTTTATTTCATTTAAAAATTTAATAATTCACAAGTAAAATACATAGCTAAAATCATTATGGAAATGATCTTTTTCACTTAAAATCATATAGGAAATTAAACATCTTCCAAATTCATAAAATCTGAGGAAAAAACCATAAAATCTTGCCGAACTTTAAATTTGGTGATTTTGTAAATTAAACTTATAATGTGTGAATAGGTTTCCAACCTGGAGGTGCGCTCCAATGGCCAGAAGACCACCCCGATCAGCGAGGCTCGTGCCAGCAGTGCCGATGGATTCGTGGATGCCATTGAGAACTACATCCGGGGACACGATGTCAGCATGGACTTGCCCTTGGCCGACGCCAAGGTCACCGTCTCGGCCCGCAATCTTGCGAGCAACCAGCTGAGCCTGAACCTCCAGCTGAATGGCGACGAAGGCGATGAGGGCACCGATGTCGAAGCCAGGGGTAAGAAGGGCAACATCTTCAAGAAGGGTGGGTTCACTTTCCGCATGCCTTTTGCCACACCGATTGGTTAGCACCTACTGACCCGCAAAACTCTAAAAATTACAGGCAAGAAGCATCGTCTCCGCAAGCTGGCCATGCCCATCCTGGTGCTCATCCTGCTGAAGGCCATCACAGTGATCCCCATGGCCATTGGCATTCTGAAGATCAAGGCTTTCAATGCCCTGGCTCTGGGCTTCTTCTCCTTCATTGTCTCGGTTGGTTTGGCCATTTTCCAATTGTGCAAAAAGGTAAGCCGACCAGGATATTAAAACCGATCTCCAATTGTCTTCTAGGCATTCGCTGGATGTGGTAATTAGTATGCGTTTTGTGTGTTGGGATGATGTTGGGCGTGGAGTTCGAAGTTCGAGGCAAGCTTTATTGCAATTAAGTGTCATATGTAGTGCATGTATGTATAAGAAGTCTAGAGGGCGGCAGCAGCAGGGTAAGTCGAGCCAGAACCCTCGCCCACACTCTCCCGCTTCCCAACTAAACCACAAAACTGACTACCCAACCAACACTAGCATTTCGAATATTTATGATGAACGTCAAGTCAAAATCTGATTTTCAAATTCAATATTTTCCCCATTGTTCTGCCCTTAGATTGCGCATGATCATCATCACACCGCCCACATCACCGCCCATGGTCCTTGGGACGGTCGCACCTTCGGCTCTGTTCCTGCCCCCGTTGTGGAGCAGCCCCAGAAGTTGGCCCAAACCCTGGCCTATCAGGCCTACGCCTAAGCCTCAAATACAAATCCCGGAAAACCAAGCGGAGCAGAGCAGTTTGAAGCCAACAGGTGGTCTCAAAAGCACAAAATTATTTGTTAATTGTTAGAAATGTTCTGTCACTTTGGGCCATTTTCCATCTTAACTGCGCTGCTCACTTCATTAGACTTTATTTATAATATTTATTAACTATTTATTGAAAACAAGAGATTAAGAAAACAGAGAAGCAAAGCACCAAAATAAAGTAGCAAAATAAATGCCTTGAATATGCTAAACTCGATATCATTTACTAAAGAACCTGGGCGGAGGTCAACATTTAAGTCCAGATTAAAGATTAACCCACGGCGTTTGACCAAAAACAGCCTGTGGTTAAGACCGCAACGGTTGTATGCTTAGGCCAGCAGGCCTAATTAACATTTCCACCCTCTGGCGATGTTCCCAGAGTCTCGGCCAATTTCACTTGGCATACAATATGTATAAGCCATCGCCGGCACAGCAATTGTGTCCTAATTAGCCAAATTTAATCCATTGCAAGCGCCGACCCTCGGCAGCAAATCTAATTAAATATTCCACTCAAGTCGCTTTTAAGGCCCGACTGGAAGAGTCGATTAAATTGATTAACTGCTCATAATTTAAAAATTTAAATTTCCTCTTTTCACTTGTGCGAAAGTTGCCAAGCGTCAGAGAGTGAAAGTCTTTTTCAAATTTTTTTCAACAGAAAAGAAGGCCAATAGATCAGGACCTTTTTTTTCTGCGAATGCCGTTAACTAAGGCATATAGATCGCTGTAGACACAAATCGATAAGTGTCCCAAATGAAAACGGGAAAATAAATTAAAAATAGAAGCTATAAAATATTTATAAATCATGAAAGCAAGACTCAGTTTTGATTACGTTCAAACGTGTAAGGTCTTTGCCGGAACTCGCAAAAATATTTGCTTTCGGAACCATCTTTTCGATTTCAACGAATTCGTAGTGATGGGCTTCTGAAAAAGTAGTAATTGGCTTAACTTAAATGTTTTTAAATTACAAAAATCGCTTAGGCCAAATATAAAAAAATATCAGACATCCTTTTGCAATGGTTATAAATTGCGTTAAAATCTGAAAATTTTAAATGAATTGGAAATTTAAAAAAAAAAACACCAGCACTTTCTATTGAAAACAAAATCTTTCAACAATTTTCTTGCACTCCAATCAACTTATTTTGTAAAGCTTTATTATTTTATGTTCATCCTGTAGATGAGATAATATAAATACATTTTATTGGACCCAAATTGAATTCTTACCGAGGGTCATGCAGCAATTTGCCATGCATGTATGTTTTGATAGCCAAGAAAGTGTGAAAATTGGCTTAATGCAGACATTTTCGGGCACTGGCCTCTCGCTTTGGCATTTTCACAGAATTTAAGCTAATTTATCAGGCGAATGAACTGGTGTCGGGGGAGTTTTACTGGAATTCGTGTGTTATGGCAGCCACCTGCTCAGGTGGCGGTGCCTTCAAAGCCGCTTGGCATGCATAAGGACGCTGTTTTGGTCAGCACACCATCGTCAGCATCGAGTTAAAGCCAAAGCACGAGCTTATGAAAATGTATCGTATCGTAATCTTTTTTTGGCACGATCCGAGCAAAAGTGTGGCGCTAGTGAAATAAACATAAAGCTGTCCAATTTCTTTTATCGTAGGATGCGAGTGCTTCACATAAAAATAACATGTCGCTGGTATAAACGCAGCAGAGACACCTTTTGAATTATTTAAGCTGACCATTAGGTAATCTATGATGATTTCAATGATTTTGGCAAGCAAAATAAGGAGATGTTTTCTTGTGTAATATTTGTGCAGTTGTCTAAAGAGTGTTATTTTTCAAACAAGCCAATCAAATGAAGTAGGTCGTTTTATTTGGTAAAAAACCTATATTGTAATATATGAAGTAAAAATTATAGTTTTAGATATATTGACATGCTGCCACTAAAAATTTAACGTTTTTCCCAATTTAATAAATGGTTTAAAATTCGATAAATATATATTTTTTTATTAAGAAAAATATTATTAGGTAAATATTAAACTTAATAAGTGGTTTAACTAAATTTTTAAGTAATGTTTAAGTCGTAAATGTATTAGCTTGTGGGCGTTACACAATTTTAAATATTAAATACTCAACATAAGTGATTGAATTTATTCAATTAATTTATTTACCCATTGAGTAAAATGGCGACATATATGGACAGGAACTCCCTTTTTATGTAAATCATTAAAAAGCGTGTCACCTAAATATAAGTGGCACAAATAAAAACGAAAATCTATTTCGTAATCTGAGAAAAGCAAACAAAATAATAATTGAAGCCGCTGCAAAATCGAAAAAACAGTTCCGTGTACAAAAATGAAACAGAAACGTATTAAATCCAGTGGGAAGTCAATACCAAATCGTAGTTGAGTTCCGTACTGATTTCTTGTATCGAAATTTGACACAATACGCCGAAGTATGTACGTGTCTTCGATTTGGCTTTCTTGTGGACGGTCGCGTAAGAGTAATGGGCCTGCATACTAATAGCCAACAAAAGTTATTTCCATCGAGGCGTCAGTAATGCAACTTGGGCTGGTGGGAGGGTTAGGTGTCTGAGGCCAATATGGAAAGCGAGAAAGCTTGAGGGGCAACCCAGTTAACAGAGGAGAGGCTACTGTTTTAGGGCTGGGTAAAAGAAGTGCAAGGGTATATCGTATCTAGACAAATATATTAGAATACCTCGAAGATTAAACCATTTCTAACTCCTTAAAATTTTCAACTTCTTAAAATTTAAATTAACATGTGAAGCAAAGAACATTTACGAAAGCGGAGCTCAATATCATTCATTTAAAAATGCATGAAACTAAACAAAAAAAATATAGAGGTGCAAAGGTCATCAAAAAACTTTGCTATATTAACCTAATTTTATGTGATTTTTTATTCAAACTGTAGGTATATAAAGGGAATGAATTTCGCCGCACTCTCTACTTCAAATAAAATTTAGTTTAATAATACCAGAATAAATTCATTTTCTAACAAAATTTCGGCAGCCTTCTAAATTTACCATAGGATACATAGTATCACATAACAAAATATACAAAATCAGATAGTCAGTGCATTATGCAATAAAGTTGATTAAAATGGGATGATCGACATTTCATGTTTTCTAAATGTTTCTTATTAAAACTAAAAGGACTTTTTCAGGGCACCAAATTTGATATCCTACCCTTACACTTACATTAAATGTTTTTATTTTCTCTTCAACACACAATATAGAAACGCCTAAAATCAGTGATTTAGTTTAAAAGATCGCGATCGAGACTTGAGTACCTTTAGGGCTTGTGATATGAAATTTCATTATATCTAGGCAGTGAAGAAACGGGTATTTAATATTCGTGACACTCCGCCACAGCGTTCTTGTTTTCTTTTCGTTTATTTTTTTTTGTGAAAAACTTTGGCCACTTGCTTTCCGTGGACTTGGCCCGGGGTTTGACTTTCGTCGCTCGTCACTTGCTGCGTTGGGCTGTCCAAAACCGAATTGTGCACTCCAAAAAACCAGCACGGGTCTTTTTGACGCTCTCGGGGAGCGGCAGTATAAAACCCCAACCAATCGGCAAATCATCCAACATTGTCGCCGCACCGTCTCCACAGTGAACACTACGCGCTCTGGTAGTGTCAAAACTTAATATTTAATTGCAATTAACTCGACTGGAAACACAATGGCTTCCCGTTTCACGTCCTTGCTCGCGATCGCTTGTGCGCTACTGCTGGTGGCCTCAACTTCTGTGTCCGGAGCTGCCATCGAGAATGCGGTGACCCCGCGCATCCACAGCTCCGACGAGCTGATCTCGACCATTGTGGATAAGTGCTTCCATGCCAATGCCATGCATTGCCTGAAGGAGAAGGTGCTCAGCTACCTGGACACGGTGGCCAACGTGGAGGAGGAGGTCAGCGGACGTGCCCTGAACGACGACGTCATCGACAAGGTCATTGTGGATCGTCTGGGTCGCATTCTGAACACCAACGAGATGAGGTTGCAGCTGCCGCAGACCTTCTTCGCCGGCTCCGTGATGACCTATCGCTCGGACCGCGGTTTCGATCTGGAGCTGCCCAAGGAGGAGGGTCAGTAGTCGAGGGAGTGTGACCCTTAATACATGCTAATCTAGAAATATTATTCAGGTCGCGCTGAGAAGAAGAACAAGGACAAGCTGTTCCTGCCCTTGCTGCTGCTGATGAAGTTCAAGCTGAAGGTGATCATGCCCATCCTGCTGGCTCTCATCGGTCTGAAGGCCACCAAGGCTCTGATTCTGTCCAAGATTGCCATCAAGCTGGTGCTCGGTTTCCTGATCTACAACCTCATCCAGAAGTTGGGAGGCATGAAGATGAACATGGTGCCCATGCCCGCCCCAGTTCCGGCCAGTGAATACGGAGTGCCCAGCACCACTGCCTCTTCCTACGATCCCAGCAGCTGGGAGCCCATGAGCGGAGGACCCTATGCCCGTTGGGACTCGCAGAACCTGGCCTATAGCTCCTACCATCCCAGCAGCTCGTCGTCCTACTCCTCGGGATCCTCGTCGGGATCCTCGGGCTCTTCGTCCAGCTACAGCTCGTCCTCTTAAGTAGGGAAAAGCAATCGCCCCATTGTACATACCAAGGATATGTGTGGTCCTTCCCAGGAGGGATCACTGCGAGTCACACAGACCAAATGGAACCGGAACCTGCCCAGGCCATAATTGTAGTCGTTAAGGGTTAAGCACGCGAGAGTTTTAGCCATTCTTCAGCTGTAACCACACCCCACTTAGCCTGATTTTCCCCTCTTCATACCATCTTCTTCCTCATTGCCTCTTTTTCTTTTTGCCTTCGTCATTTCGTCACAAATCGATCAAAATCACACTGAATTGAATTAATATTTATTTAATTTATTAAAAATGCAAAACTTGAAAACATCAAAAAATCGTATTGTTTACTTGAGGGTGTACTTGGGTTCATTTCATTGAATTAAAAGCAACATATGCTCGGGATTATAAAATATTTAATTTTCTCTGATACATTAATTAAAAGCTTCTTTATATTTAAAGTTTTTTTGTTTGTCAGATATTTTTATATATGTAATTTTTTTTTTTAATTGTGGGATCTTGTTTGTGGGTTCCTTTGGCTTTTGTTGTTTTGTGTTAATTTAAGTTATGTCTTGTGTATAATTTTTTATTTACGCATAAATAATCCTATAATGTGTGGAATAACTATACGAACTTTCTGCGGTTTAAGCATAAATAAAAAATTATATAGAAAATATAAATTAATTAAATAAATCAAATTAAAAGGGAAGTGTAATCGAGATTTGCATGTGAAAAAGTCAACGGCACTTAGCTTAATAGTCTGTCAACTAAACGAGGTACTAACTGATATTGTATTGCATGTTTTTTTAGAACTCGCCATCACGCAAGTGATGAGGGTGGTAGACCACTAACTGCCCGGCGTCACGACCAATTATTTTATAAAGTTTGAGGAGAACACCGAATGGTGTATTAGCTAAACTTAATGGTACTGACAGCTGTTTTGCTCAATTGGCCAGGTAAGAACCATCTGTTAGATGGACTAGGTATTTAAGGGCAGGAAGTCTTAGTTCTTTAGTCAGTAAATAAGTTGCGAGACTATGTGGACCATCATATGGATTGCTCTCTTCTCGAGATTTGGTATGAGTCTGAGCCTGAGATTTACCAGGGCAAATGATCATCAGTCGGACACGGAAGTTAGCAAGATCATGCGGACCCTAGATGTGATACCAGATTTAATAGAGATCGGACCCCAGGAGTTTCTCAATGTGAGTAATCAAAAATCAATTTCAAAAATACAAAAAGTAGACAAATTAACTCAAAATAAATTCAAGGAACATCTTTAAATATATAATTAATATAAATACAACGATCCAATTTGTATTAGTTCGGATTTGTTTAGTACCAATTCAATAAATTAATATTTGGAGAACAAAAAAGTGTAGGTATAGGCGCATGGGATAATGAAGCTTTACTTCGAATAGCTTAAATAATTTTAAACTAACTTCCTTCTTTGTCTAAGAAATCGATTCGCTTGTTTCCAACGAAGGTTACATACCACGGTCATGTATCAGCACATGGTGGAAAATCACTGGAGCCCATGCAAGTGCGCGATGAACCCTCCTTAAGATGGCCCACAGCACCGGAAAACTACTACACCCTGCTCATGGTAGATCCGGATGTACCCAACGTCATAACGCCCACCCACCGGGAGTTCCTGCACTGGATGGTGCTCAACATCCCCGGCAATCGACTGGCCCTTGGCGATGTGCGCGCGGGATACATGGGAGCCACTCCGCTGGTGGGGACCGGGACCCATCGGTTCGTGTTCCTGCTCTACAAACAGAGGGACTATACCAAGTTCAACTTCCCAAAACTGCCCAAGCACTCGGTTAAGGGACGCAGTGGATTCAACACGAAAGACTTCGCAAGGAAATATAAATTGGGCTATCCAGTGGCTGGAAACTTCTTCACAGCCAGCTGGAGTGCGGATGTCCCAGCCCTTATAAAAGCCATCTCACATGGTGCCCGCTTGGCCACGAAGATGAGATAATTTTAAATAAAACTATTAAGAAATTGTAAGCTTTAATAAAACAGGCAGTTAAAATTTTAATAAAAATTAGTTTTAATGGTAAAAAAAGTCACATAAGAACTCTTGTCCCTTTATTGTTTCCATTTCACAGTATTTTCTTGCAGTCCTTTCTTTAGAACTTCATAAAATCAGAACTTTATTTGTCCAGCAATTTTATTTTTTAATAACCTAAACATTTAGGGCCATCACTAAGACATATTTGAGACAAGTGTCGGTACTATATGAACAATGAAAATTCAAACGAACAACACTGACATCTCAAATTTTAACTAAATTACTACTTACTCTGCCAAAAATGACCGAGGCCTCCGTGTGTTTTTCGAAACACAAAATCGTGCCGGATATCTTGAAAACGTGCCCCACAAATTTGCTTAAGGTAAACTCTGCCACACATCCCTTACAATCTCGAATGCCACATATTTGTGTGCTCCCAGGTGACTTATGGCGGCGGTGAGGTGGTGGACATGGGCGGAGAACTGACGCCCACACAGGTGAAGGATCAGCCCAGGGTTGAATGGGATGCGGATTCGAACGCCCTTTACACGCTGATCCTTACCGATCCGGATGCGCCCAGTCGCAAGGATCCGAAGTTCCGCGAGTGGCATCACTGGCTGGTGGTCAACATTCCAGGCAACCAAATTGAGAACGGCGTGGTTTTGACCGCCTATGTGGGCTCAGGACCACCGCAGGGCTCCGGCCTCCATCGCTACGTCTTCTTGGTCTACAAGCAGTCCCAGAAGCTCACCTGCACCGAGCCTAAAATCCCGAAGACGAGCGGCGACAAGCGAGCCAATTTCAGCACCGCCAAGTTCATGACCAAGTACAAGTTGGGCGATCCCATTGCCGGCAACTTTTTCCAGGCTCAGTGGGATGAATACGTGCCCAAGCTGTACAAACAACTCTCCGGCAAGAAGTAACTAGTACCATTTGTTCCAAAAATAAGTCTTTAGTTTTAAAAAGTATTGAATTTAGAAATTTTTTAATAGGGTTATTGTTACTTGACTCCAAATCCAACCAAATTAGCCTGTAAAAATAAACTAATAATTGACATAACTATGGTAATTTCTCGAGAAGTATACCTAAACGATTTTATCAACATATTAATATGTTAGGTTTTCTATAAATCCCTCTAAGTGTATATATAAATTGAATTATTGTAAAACTCATTTCATCGTTAATCACGTGCCTTTCTATCATTAAAAAAATTATTTAATTTCGCATAAAGTAAATAAACACCAGTTATTTATTTTGTACCTATATTAAACAAAAACCTTCTTTGGTAATTTTGCTCCAACCATGTTTTTATAATTTACCAATTACCCTAACAAATCACAGATTCTAGCAAACAAAATTGTTTACAATTTAAGTTGGATGCATATATATTCATTAAAGCGTGACTTTAAACAAAGAAATCGTTAATTACTATTCTGAAAACGCTTTTTCCCAGCTGTTCATAAAATAAAAAGCTTTCAGCTTATTTTTAAAAGTGTGGCATCTCGGCAAACTGGTTTTAGTTGCTAACAGGCCTTCCTCGGGAGCAGATCTCTATTGTTAAAAGGTTTTCTTTTCATTCTTATTAACTAAAAAAACAGTATACTCTATAAAGATGCTGTTGGTACTATTACCATTGTGCTTCTTGCTGACTGTCCAAGCTGGTTCCTTGGAGGAGGTTTTCATAACCCATCAAGTGGTTCCCGATGTCATCCCCGAGCCACCAAACCAGTTATTAAAGGTGAGGCAACCTATAAAAACTATTCACACATTTTCAGCAGAAATAAATAAATAAACGGTGTTTAAAAACTTAACAATCTAATATAAAATATTTTAAGCCGTGCTTTGGATACTAGCCACTGATGTTTTACATTTTTTTGTTGATTCCAATTACTCCCAAGCTTAATTGAGACATACAAATTTTACTAGTCACAACTTTCTGATCAAAGGTCACAAACTTGAAATTTATTTAAGGCATATATTCCAAAAAAAGCGTGTAAATTATTATTTTAGAATAACTATTTGCATTTTAAGAAAATATAAAAAAAGATGACCCAAAATGTATATTGTATTTCACTATCTTTCCAGTTTATAACAATTTACAAAAATCTTTATCAGAATTAAAATATAATTTTAATTCATTCACCTAAAATTTAATGTACCGAATAAAAAGTAACCGTGAAACACCATTTAGAGTTCTAAAGCAAATAACATGTAAACAACTTTTCGCTAAAGGTCACTTACAGCAATAACCTCGTGGCCAAGGATGGAGTGGAGCTAACACCCACTCAAGTTAAGGACCAACCGACTGTGGAGTGGGACGCACAGCCGGGCGAGTTCTACACCCTCATCATGACCGACCCCGATGCACCCAGTCGGGCGGAGCCCAAGTTCCGCGAGTTTAAGCACTGGGTCCTGGTCAATATCGCCGGTAATGATTTGGCCAGCGGGGAGGCGATCGCCGAATACATTGGCTCCGGTCCTCCCCAAGGAACGGGTCTGCATCGCTACGTCTTCCTGCTGTACAAACAGTCCGGCAAACTTGAGTTCGACGAGGAGCGCGTGAGCAATAAATCCCGCAAGGATCGACCGAAATTCAACGCAGCCAAGTTCGCCAAAAAGCATCAGTTAGGAAATCCCATCGCCGGCACTTTCTATCAAGCCCAGTACGATGACTATGTACCCAAACTGCACCAGCAACTTTCAGCAAATTAATGATGTGTTGAACAATGGTTTACTAGCCATTCAGAGACTATTAAAAAATTCAAAACCAATAAAATAATGCGTTTTTAACACAAGAATCGAAAAAGTGTTAGTACGGGAGACAAAAGGTTAATAAAAAGTTCATTGGATCTAAAAAGTTTTTAAATTATTGGTATATCAGTTATATCATAACAATTTTGGTAAGTGAATAACTTCATAAACTGTTTCATATATTTATAATTAAAAGGTAAACGTTTTTTGAGGAGTCAATAAGGGTTGGATATTAAAATAACAATACTTTATGGAAAACTATAGAATTACTAACAGCGAAACTATAAAATAGATTCATCATCAGATTATAAAGACAATAGCCTTTTAATCACTGTTATTAATATAACACAAACAGAAGCAAAACTATGAAATTAATAGACATGCGAGTATAAATTAGACGATGACTATACAGATTAAGCGCTTTCGGGTGCATTGGTTTACAACTCCTACAAACATTTTTAAATCAGAACTTGATACTTGTCTGTGTTGTCTGTGAAATAAATGCTTAAAACTTGGAAAAGGAATCGGTTTTCGGATTTATTGAGTGTGGATGGTGATTATTGGTTACTCTATGCTATCGCTATAGTAGACTATTTTCCGGCCGCAGTGGCCAGGGGATTCCTGAGTACCAGGATCACCGAGTCGCCGCGCAGGAACATCTTCGATATGAAGCGGTCCTTGTTCACGGGCTTCACCTTCTTCTTGCCCTTTCCGGTGCGCGGCAGCTCCGTCCACATTTCCTTGACGTTTTCCAGGACCATGTTGCAGTGGCGATCAAAGGCTTTAACCCTGCCCAGGAGCTTCTTGTTGTTGCGGCAGTTGATGAGCACTTGGGTATTGTTCTTCACGGATTGCGTTAGCACGGACAGCGGACCGGTGTTGAACTCCTCCTCCTCCTGGCGAGCCAGCTCCTCCGGCGTCAGTTCTGATTTTGGTTTTACAAGGGCCCTGCAGAGAACAAATGTATCTTATAGAACTCGCAGATTATTTAAGTACAACCAACATTTCAAAATGCCGGCCCACATGTCGATGCCCATTTTCCCATTCCTGACTGCTGGTCTTCACGTGTTCGCGTTACTTACATTGCAAATTATACGTATTTCTTGATAAATGCAGTTAAAAGTCTTTTTATTATGGTTTTCAGTGGGATTTTGCGTTTATTGTCGACAAACGATTTTCCAGCGCGGCTTCTTTTCGTTGCTTGCTTTTCTAGAGGTGGCACGCTAGCGATGGCACTATCGGTAATTAGTTTGGTATGTTTTAGTATATTTATACCCCTACTTTGGGTATTAAATAAATTATACACACGAATGTGAACGAATGCCAAGTGGAAACAAGGTTTTATCAAAGTGTAGTCGTATTTGCAAATACGTTTTAAATCTCACCAGGATTGGTCTCACTGTCACCCACGAGCTGTAAATTCATTTTTTCGTTATTTTATTTTATTTAAGCTGAATGGCAGCCAAGAAACCGAAGATGACCGTCGTAAAGAAAGATGACCCTGGGACTACCACCTGCTCCTACTGGGTGCCACGCAAGAAGCGCCGCTGCAAGATGACTGCCAACAAGGGCAGCCCCTTCTGCGGCGCCCATGCCCCGCCCACCATCTCGCCCTCGAGTCCGGATGAAAAATCTGTGGACGATGCCTTCCAGGATCGAATTCCCTGTCCCCTGGATCCCAAACACACCGTCTTTAAACGAAAGCTAGCTAAGCACTTAACCATCTGCAATGCAAGGGATCAGGAAAGTTCACTGCCCTACATCGTCAAAGGAATAAACTCAGGGGAGTATTCGGAGGAACAACACGAGGAACTGGATAAACTCAACCAAATTAAGCTGCACGAGCTGCCGGACGAAGAATTCTACGGATTGATAGACAAAGTAAAAGAACTGTACGATAAGCACATCAATTCCAGCATACAGACACTGCAGTTGGAACACGCATCCCTGAAGGAAGAACTGAATAGAAAGGACTACGGCCAGGAAACGCTGCGACAGCTCACACAAGCCTCCAGCTTGCTGGCCATCTTAGAAAGGGATCAGCAGCTCACGGATCACACCAGCTTCGTGGAATTTGGAGCTGGAAAAGGACAATTAGCATATTATTTGGCCACCGTTTTGGAAAATCAGCAATTGAATAGCTCACAAGTGATCCTTATCGACAGGCTGTCCCTTCGCCACAAGAAGGACAACAAGGTGGCCAACAAGGAGCTGGTGCATCGTATTCGAGCGGATATTGCCGATCTGAAGCTTTCCGCTTTGCCTGAGCTGAAGAAAACCCAACGAACTGTGGCACTATCGAAGCATCTCTGCGGAGCGGCGACGGATTTAACATTGAGATGTATACTGGGGGATGAAGGTGCCTCCACGGACTATGTGCTCATTGCCTTATGCTGCCATCATCGCTGTTCCTGGCTCTCCTATGTTGGACGTTCCTTTCTGCAGGAATCCGGCATTGGACCACGAGAGTTTTCTATTCTAACCAAAATGGTCAGTTGGGCGGTTTGCGGTACGGGATTGAGCCGAGAGCGGCGCAAGGCCTTAGAAGCAGCGGACGATCAGCCGGTAGAGACAAACACCCAGCGACTAAGTCGCGAGGAGCGGGAAAAGATTGGTCAACAGTGTAAGCGGCTGTTGGATTACGGACGACTAGAGCATTTGCGATCCCACGGATACCAAGCCGAACTCAAGTTCTACGTTTCGAGGGATGTAACTTTGGAGAATGTGGTCCTGCTGGCCAGACCTTGTACCTCTAAAAGTAATTGCCAAAATAAATGCAGTTGACCATAGTTAAAAATAACGTTTTCTTTTACTCCGAATGATTAAATAAAAACTGTATCTTGACATTCGGGACTTTGTAGGGCCTTTTATAAAACTTAAAGGGTACTCTAAAAAGAACTGTGCTTATATATATACTTCACCTATCACTTCTTAACTTGGGGAAGAAAAAGTCGGGGAAATCAAATATTTTGTTTTTACCTACTTATATACAGTCATGGAAAAAATAATAGAAACGACAATTTTTTTCGTATTTTTCAAACTTTTCTTCAGTCAATTTTTTTTTTTTAAGTTTAATAATTTTGATTGATATTCGATACAATTACGTGTCAAAATATACCAAAACAATTTGGTGGATTCAATGGGACAACGGTGAACCAATGACATTAAAAATTGCGGTGGCACAACTATATATTAAATGTATCATCTAAACTAATAGGCTTTGAAGCTACAAAACTGTTTTTCATAGAATTAACTCAGTCGTTTCTACTATTTTTTCCAGGCCTAAAAATTTTAAAAATTATTTTTTAGTTCATAACGTTTTTTGAAACTTATTGTTTTGGTATATAATTGTATCGACTATCAATCAAAATTATTAAACTGAAAAAAAAAAAAATTGACTGAAGAAAAGTTTGAAAAAAACGAAAAAAAATTGTCGTTTCTATTATTTATTATTTACATTTCTTTTTCGTAAGAGAAAATTATATAAAATGTTTTTTTTTGTTAACTGGAAAGTATTATAATTTTGCGTAACAAATTTGTTACGAAATTTTGGATGTTGTCGTCGGTATTTCCTTATACTGTTTAAAGGCGTTGTTTCAGAAGATTACTAAAAAGAAAATTTGGTTGCTTTGAAAATAATTGCATATAGAGGAGGATGAGGCAAATCCGACCGGGTGAAACCTGCTCCTGACAATACTGCCGGCAGACCATCTAGCTCTTTCAAAATAAATAACTATCAGAATTAGGAAGTTAACTGTTTTTATTATTTATCTACTGAGCTGTAGCCTTTTAATGTAATTTTACCCTAGATTTTAAGTACAATGTTTAATTCCATGCTTCAGGAGTTTTAATTAGGTGGAGAGAGTTGTGAAACAATTATATATAAGTTTACGAATTAACTTAGATAAAGGAAAATAATTTGAAATGTGGCTTTTTACACATTTTTAAAAAAAGCTAAAAACTAGTACTTTTATATTAATTATGTGAATTTCACCCTAAATATATTCCAAATTCAACTCGCGATGCCAGCTTTACGTTCTTTGACCTCAGTTTATAATAAACCTGTGTGAATTCTCAATGACCAACACTAACACACCCCACAATATGGGGCCCTGATTAAAGTTAACTGAAAAATCCGGAAACTTTAATATTTTTTCAAAATTTGTTAGATCAGATTCATTTAAATTTACTTCGCAAACTTTACACTTTAAACCGATTTTAAAATAAATATACCTTCAAACATATATGATTTTAGCATTTTCCAAGACGTGGAATTCCTTACTCCAATACAATTATATATTGACCGATATTGGAGGATTCCATATTCGTTTTAAGTTCGGGGTGTATTACTAGAATCTACAATTTAAATTCCCCAATCTTTAGCCTTTATAGTTTAATTTTTTTGCTGTAAGCTGAGGGCTGATATGAACCGAATCACTTTAATCATTTAATTTATGAGTAATGACCTTAAACTAATAGGTACACAATTTAATGGAAGCCTTAGATAAACTTATGTATCACCCTGGTATTTACCCTGAATTACGCTGCTACAGCGGTGACTTACAGCTAACATTCAATTAAACAGTTTCCCAGATTTGCCGAAGAATTGCAGGAATATTTACCAGTAGACTTCTGAACCCAACCCCATTCCACCCACGGTCGTTTTTGGTGTTTACCGAAATGGCAGTATAAAGGAACCTCAACGCGGACACTTCAAGTGGCCAGCGCGCGTCCAATCACAGAGCAAAACAATAATTGTTTACAAATTGTTAACACGCTCCGGAATAGCAGTAGATGATTGTCACTTTTGACGCGCAACGCCCCCTTTCAGGAGCGTCTCGGGCAAACAAAAATCCTCAAATCACGCTTGGGCACAATGCACTCTCACACTGAGAAAAAAAGTTTGGTAATCTGTTTATATATGGTTCAATTTATATTTTAAACTTAACTCGACCGCAAAGCTTCCGAGTCACTATTTGAACAATGAAATCAAACAGTAATTAGGATTCAAATGAATTTAGGAAAATATCCTTGAGAGAACTTAGTACTTATCGTCGCCTTGCAATCCTAGCCTTGTATTTTCGAAATCAGTTTTAAGGCTCTCTACTGTATAAAATTGTAGAATCATAAGTTTGGTAACATTTGGTTAAAACATTTGTATTTTGGCATATACTCTATACCTAAATGTATGTATGTTCTAGTTTTAGTTTTAAGACTAGTTTAAGTTTTAAGATTGTTAGAGATTGTTTCTCATTTTTGACCAAAAGGTGTAAAATTTTTTCTGATTTTTCAATTAATATACTATAAATTGTATCAAATAGGAAATCTGATTCTCTATGTTTTCTGCTGCGTAGCCTCTACTTTTAGCTATATGTTTTAAAAAGGGAAATTATTGGCATAATTTTGTTATTTGTGAAGTAAGCGGCTCTTAAGGATATTAAAATATATGAGAGTTAATAAACCAGGACGAACTCCTGTTATAATCGAGTTTTGAAGATTTTCCATAGAATAAGTTTCAAAAGCTTGGCAACGTTTTTTTTGTGTAGCCGGTTCGCACATCATTTGCGGGTGTAGGACATCCAGGTCGCATATAAAACCACCATTATCCAGAAGGACCTGGTTCAGTCCGGGGCGACTCTCATTGGCGGCGGTAACCATGTCGAACCTAAGTGCCTGCGCAGTGTGCGGTGATCAAAGTTCCGGGAAGCACTACGGCGTAGCCTGCTGCGACGGGTGCTCCTGCTTTTTCAAGCGGAGCGTGAGGCGTGGCAGTAGTTACGCCTGCATCGCCCTCGCCGGGAATTGCGTGGTGGACAAGGCGAGGCGGAACTGGTGCCCCTCCTGCCGCTTTCGGCGATGTCTGGCCGTGGGAATGAACGCGGCCGCAGTTCAGGAGGAGCGGGGTCCACGCAACCAGCAGGTGACTCTCTACCGGAATGCCCGGCGGCATCCTCCGCTATCTGCGCCGGCACCATCCCCAACGCCCCACTCCCAGGCGCTGCACTTCCAGATCCTCGCCCAGATCCTCGTCACCTGCCTGCGACAGGCGAAGGCCAACGAGCTGTTCGCTCTGCTGGAGCGCTGCCAGCAGGACGCCATCCTGCAGGTGGTGTGGAGCGAGATCTTCGTCCTGCGAGCCTCCCACTGGTCGCTGGACATCAGTGCCATGATCGAGGGCTGTGGCGATGAGCAGCTCAAGCGCCTCATCTTCGAGGCCCAGCAGCTGAAGGCCGACGTGCTGGAACTGAACTTCATGGAGACTCTAATACTGTCCAGAAAAGGTAAGGTTTTTAAATTAATTAAGATTAAATCGACTCTCTCAACATAATTCCAAGCTACAGATTTGTCAGTGTTTCAAAAATCCCGTTAATTATGAGTAAGGGTTTTTAAACCAATTATGGTAGAACCTGCTTCAAAAATACTTACATACTTCGAAACACAGCAAAAACTGTGAGGGTTTTAAAACTGTGAGCAAATAAATCTATGCTGTGCTTTTGCAGTGTAAATGGAAAATATTGTTTTATTTGCTTTGAAATATACTATTATTTAATTTATTTAATTTATATTATTATTTAATTTACTTTTGCTTTCACTTTTGGAAACCGCATTTTGAGCTTTAAAAGGCAAAGCAAAATATTGCTATCGTGTTCCTATTAGCAATTTAGATTTTCGATTTAGAATAGGGGAAATAGATTGTTCAAATTAACTTGTTTAATTTCTGAAAAATGCTGAAACATTGTTTTGAAAATGTATAAGTTGCATTGAAATTGTTGTCTCGCAATAGTATCATTCGGCTTATGTTTCTTTGCTTTTCTTTCGGCATCCAAATTGTTAGCACCAAAGGCAAAAAATGTAAAGCATTTTCCAAGCCTGATTTACATGCTTGAGATCGCACTTTTGAGAAAAATTAATGTGTAACGATGCGGTTGCTGAATTCTATTGGACCTGTTTGGATCGTGTGTTTCCTCTCCCAAGAGTCACACTAAAAGACAAGTTTAAGTGAGGACTTATATTTATGTAAAATATATTACAAGCTAAAATCATTAATATGTCCGTGGGTCTATTTACAAGTATTAGATCTTCGGGGGGATGCCTCGGATACGTGGTTCTTAGGTTTTGATCTTGTGGCGACTGATATTCCTTTGTGGTTGGATCAAACTGTTAATCAGGGCATCGCTATGCGGCCATCTGTGCCATCTCCGGGACGGCAGAATGGAGGTTCATAGTCTGTATCCGGACTGGGCGATCATGAAAAGCTTTGGGACTGGTTCATAAACCATATCTGTCAGAGTTAGATCTACCTCTATCACCAAATCCTTCACGAACTATTGCCGAATGAGAATGAGGCCGGATTCTGCTTGTAGTGATTCCGTAGTTCTCCTAGTTTAACGCCCCGACTGGTTTTATCTACTTAGGCGAATTTTTCAAAGACCTTTAAATCTTTCCTCATTAATCATTTAAATCGTTTGGCACGTTATTTTCAGAATTGGCTATCAGTGCGCAGTACGGCGTTATTCTAGGAAGCCACTCGAACGCTGCCCTCGTATCCTTGGCACGATACACACTGCAGCAATCAAATTACTTGCGGTTTGGACAACTCCTTCTCGGTCTGAGACAGCTCTGCCTGCGACGCTTCGACTGCGAATTATCTTGCATGTTTCGCACTGTAGTTAGGGACATATTAAAAACTATTTGAGATTGAGTTAAGTACATTTGTAACAGATCTGCTTAATTTCAGATGTCAAGCTTGTCAAGCTACAACTATTAGAGTAAGATTGGATTTATTAAATAGCATTATATCTACTATATATATCGAGATAAAAAGGAAACAGTTTCTGGAATCCATAATATGAAATATGTTTGTATATATGTTCTGAAATAAAAAATACTTTAACACACTTGACGTTAGCACAAATCAAAAGACTATTGGTTGCAGATTTTATGAACAAACACTGAAACAGTTGCAAAATACCTTTATGAGGTTTCTGCACAAATAGCTCCAGCTCCTAGAGCTGATAGGTCAGACCGTCGGCGTTTAACACAACGATTATATTAGTCACATAACTAAGAGGTCTCCAGAGAGTGATTGCACAGTTTCTGTAGCTATTTGGTAAATTAAGGACCGGTTTGGAATATCTTAAAATTTCCTAGATATGGTTATTGGAAAGGCTGTTGATGGTGAATTTGCTGATTTTTGGATCGATGTCTTTTTTAGCCAATGCTGTATTTAGCTGGGCCTAAGGATCAATAAAGCAAATTATTAATGAAGCAAAAAGAATTTGTCTATATCATTTAGCCTAGTACTCAGATCAACCAAATCTGTTCGTCAACTATGAGAGAAAGCGAGAGGCAAAAAGGCTCTTTTTTCACCACGGTACTCAGATAGAAGAATGCATTTTGGGTGAACATTCGTCAGGCCCCAGCGCAAAGATTAAAAAATTTAATCTTTTGGGGTTCCTGTTGTCAGAGCAAAGGTTTTCAAAGATAAACAAGAAAGAAAAGCAAACTTGGGGCGGGGCCGAAGTTGATATACCCTTGCAGAATATTCTGTAAATTATATTCTCCAAAATTATTCATACTCTTAAAAAATTCCAACTTCCTAACTTTAAGAACTTTGGATTTCCAATGGTTCAGTTATTTAAATAAATTTGGTAAGTCTGATTGATTGGCCAAAAGTAAAACCCATAGAAAATCCCAACTTCCTAACTTCACAAACACCAAAGTTATGGCATTTCCGATCAATCAGTTATATGGCAGCTATAGGATATAGACGGCCGATCCCGGCCGATCCCGTTCCGACATATATACTGCGTGCAAAGGAAAGAAGGGTGTGTGCAAAGTTTCAATTCGATATCTTTAAAACTGAGAGACTAGTTCGCGTAGAAACAGACAGACGGACAGACAGACGGACAGACAGACGGACAGACGGACATGGCTATATCAACTCAGGAGGTGATCCTGATCAAGAATATATATACTTTATAGGGTCGGAGATGTCTCCTTCACTTTTGACCAAAATTATAATACCCTCTGCAAGGGTATAACAATGAAGCTAAGTCATCGTTTCTATGGCAGCTATATGATATTGTTTTCCGCTTTTGAGAAAACTAAAAGCGTTATTTTGATATAGTAAATAATTACTATATCTCAAAGGCCTCGACGAAAAATTTCCGATTACTAGCCTTTTTATTTTATTTGAAAAGCGTACCAATGTATTTAATATCTTTGCGATCGTTTTGGTAGGATTTGGAACTAAAAGTATTCTTTTTTTGTAAAACGGTTTTTGTTTATTATACCCTGGCAGAGGGTATTATAATTTCAGTCAAAAGTTTGCAACGCAGTGAAGGAGACATTTCCGACCCTATAAAGTATATATATTCTTGATCAGCATCACCAGGAGAGTCGATCTAGCCATGTCCGTCTGTCCGTCCGTCCGTTTCTACGCAAACTAGTCCCTCAGTTTTAAAGCTATCTGCTTGAAACTTTCCCAAAAGTTGTCTTTCTATTGCAGGTAGTATATAAGTCGGAACGAGCCGGATCGGGCCACTATATCATATAGCTGCCATATAACTGAACGATCGGAAATGCCATAACTTTGGTGTTTTTAAAGTTAGGAAGTTGGGACTTTTTATGAGTATTAAGAATACACCATATGAATAATTTTGAAGAATATAATTTACAGAATATTCTGCAAGGGTATATCAACTTCGGCTCCGTCCGAAGTTAGCTTTCCTTTCTTGTTATTTTCTATTTTAACTCTAAAGCTAGCATTTTTAACAACTTTTTACGTGAGTATCAGACTCGGAATATATACCGTAAACTTTCCCTTTTATCACTTAGCGCAGTAATTAAAAATTGGTTAAACCAGTTACCTAAAATCGAATTCTAGTTTGCTTTGCAGTATAAAAAGCTTAGCTTTTCACACAACTTGTATTATAATTTCGAGGCAACATGAAGTTTCTTAATAATGGTAAGTGTCAGTAAAAGCTTATGATAAATTTTCGAATGTGACAATTTTACTTTCAAGCTTTTTGCCTTATGTTCTTGTCAAGGATGGCAGTCGGCCAGGCAGCTCTTAATGCTAGAGAAGATGATAGGAGTACTTCAAACATATTACCAACCATTTAACCCGTTACAAAGGAAAAATAATGTAGATCCATTTTAAATGCAGAAAAAACAACTTTATATAAGCAATAAAAAAAAATCCCACTAAACCACCTAAAAAACCGAACCTTTTCTTTAATTATGGACTAGATTCTAGACCCCCTCTTCAGAATTTTTTGCAATCTCAATTTCTGTCACTACCAGGAATTTAAGAGAGTTCAGTTAAATTACGACCGTCTTATCCACTTGTATACTTGCCATTTAACATAAATTTTCCGTTTCCTTTAATGCTTAACTTTGCTAATGACCATTTGAACAGTTCATTAAACCAAAAAATTAAGGACCAAATCGCTACTAAGATCAATAAAGTAAAGCCCTATAATCTAAAAAAAAAAAAAAAAAAGTCTCCAAGGCAGCTGGCTTAACAATAGCTTAACCAGTTTCCAAAACTACTTTTAAAAGTAAAATACTACACCAAATGAGCCCGTATAAAGAGTAATTAGGTTCAATAATGATGTCGTTTACTAAGCTCTATAAATAATTTTAAGCATTCTTATTTTCCTTTTATTTTGAATTTAAGATTTCAAATCTCTCGTAGTTTCGGGGATCTCGACGTTAATACGGACGAAGAGGCAGTCGAAAATATTTACTTTATAGGTTCGCAAACGGTGCCTTCTACGTGTTAATTAATTTCTAACGAATACAATACTAAGATTAATCAACAACCTGTATATTGTTTAACTCATATTAATTCGATTCGATATAAGCTATGAGTAATCATCCCACTCAAATTTGTAACAAGAAAGGAAAGCTAACTTCGGGCGGAGCCGAAGTTGATATACCCTTGCAGAATACTCTATAATTATATTCTCCAAAATTATTCCTATGATGCATTCTTAATACTCATAAAAACTCCAAACTTCCTAACTTTAAAAACACCAAAGTTATGGCATTTCCAATCGTTCAGTTATATGGCAGCTATAGGATATAGTCGGCCGATCCCGGCCGTTCCGACTTATATACTGCGTGCAAAGGAAAGAAGGGTGTGTGCAACGTTTCAATTCGATATCTTTAAAACTGAGAGACTAGTTCGCGTAGAAACAGACAGACGGACAGACGGACATGGCTATATCAACTCAGGAGGTGATCCTGATCAAGAATATATATACTTTATAGGGTCGGAGATGTCTCCTTCACTGCGTTGCACACTTTTGACCAAAATTATAATACCCTCTGCAAGGGTATAAAAATGGAAGGAAAACCCCTACAAACCCATAAAAATCGCCTGCAAGAATTTAGGGCAGCTACGATCTCTAAATTACCAAAAAATGTTCAGTCATTAAAAAATAAAACAACTACTAAATTTAAATTTTATTGTTTTCAAATTTCTTTGTATAGCGGCAGAAATGTCTTACCAAAGTAGCAAATAAGATTTTTGAATTTTAACTGCTTGTTAACAAGCCCAGCTGATTGCTTGTACGACCGTAGCACACTCAATACTGATGAATTCGCAAAAATGCTGTCACATGGAAAGATTAAAGTCTTTTCACTGGCGAATCCGTTTTTCGATCTAAGTACTAGACTTTTGTATGAACAAAATCATTTTTCTTGTCAGCTATGGGACAAATCGAGGATCAAACAGCTAGCGGACACTTTTCACTTGGACACTTTTCGTCAGGCCTTTTTTCATCCCGGTACTCCGGCCCTGTTTCTTAGTTCAAAAATGGAAGAAAAACCCAAGAAATTATCAGTAAATAAAAAAATAACTAATACATTAAAATTGTATTACTTTTTAATTTATTTGTACACCGGAGGACTCGTTTTGCCAAGGTAGTTGAGAATATCCTTTCAGGGTCGTTTCCTGCAGATAAGTGTTTGAATTTTAACTGTTTGTCAACAAACCGACCTGAATGACAGTAAGACCGTAACACACTCAGTGCTGATGAACTCTCAAAAATTATGTTGAAATATACCAATTTTAAACGATACGCAATGAATTTACTTTTTTCTTGATATCAGCGTCGAAATATACCATATAAGCCATAAATACCATTAAAGCTGAAACATATCGATATATAGTGGATTATCACGATATTTTTGAACTCATTCCTGGTTTATATATCGATATTTTGGTATATTTTGGCCATCGCTCGTGTCTGCTGCGGCCGTTTCGTTTCTGTAATTATTTTTCATATATTACTAAGCCGTGAATAATGTAAACTAGTTAGTGGGTAAACCAAGGGCACAAAATGTCCGCGCGCGTTGCCAAAGCAGCTAGAAAGCTATAGAGTTTGCAAGCCGCAATCAGATTCGCTTGCTTTTTCTGCTCGTGCTCCTCGTCCGTCGGCCATTAAGACACACACCAGAAAAAACGGAAAAACAATACAGCGTGCGTGTGTGTGGAGTGTGTGCGAGTGTGCGGTGAAGTGTTGTGAGCTCAGAAACCTTCAAGAAGCCAGTGAGAAAAAGAAAATTGTGCTCCAATCCAGGCCGTGAAATTCTTAGCGTTTCCTCAACTGCAAGCGGCGTACAGGGTGAACCGTGCAAAAAGAAAAAGCATCCAAGGTACCTACCTGCAGTGGGTTCAAGTGGCCAGAAGGCGAGGGGAGTGTGGAGAGCGGATAGGTGGAGAGCGGGACGAGGGAGTTTCATTCATAAAAAGAGAGTGCACCGTTAGTCCAATTGGTCTGGCTTCCAATACTCAGACGCGCACACAGGCTCAGGAGGTTGCACACATTGATTTTTCCAACTTATTCTCACATGTGTGTGTGTTGGTGGATTAAAGAAAAACGTTTCAAGTGGTTCTCATTCCATATTATTTGTGATTGAGGCATTTATGCTCTCGATTTTCCAGCATAGAAATAAAGCAGGCAAATGTCAACAAGCTGTCCCTCCAAATCCCTATTCTCATCGCCCCGCAACCAACACACGTGCAAAACAAGACATTTGCATAAAGCACTAACAACATTTCCCAGTCGATTTGGCATTTAACAGTAAGCGTCCTAACGGCACATGTCCAGTGCCCCACACCCCCGCCCGTGGAAAAACATATTTGCTTAGCATGATCACAGGTAAAAAGAAAGGGGAAGGGGGGCACAGAGAAGGGAACTAGAAAGAGGAATATAAAAGGCATAACATTTCCGCCTGCTGCTTTCGGCTGGCGTCCGCAACAAAAATAGACAACGTCGCAGTGGCAGAGTCGCCACCGCCAGCGGTTATGGGTGGCCATTAAATTAGAAACCAAATCGCGAACAAGTTGTTGAAACATACTTATTCCCTTCATATTGTTAACTTGTTCCGTTTCCAATCTAAAAGTCGAATTTACCTTTCATTACCCGAACTTTGCAATCTCTTAATAAGTCAAACTATTTTTATTGGCCATTTGAGCTTTAGAAGATCGACTAAAAAATTAAAGAATACATTGAAAAATTTAAAAGTTTTAATTTACAATCAGTTAAAAAAAAGCATTGCAATTTCTTGTAAAATATCCTACATGTTTGTAGCATAAATATATAAATTTTAAAACTATACAGATACAAGGAATCGAGATTATCGAATTTGTAAACCCAATGTCTTCTGGTTATCGCGTGCTTTCGCTCCGCATAAATGCGTTGAAGAAGTCTGCATATGTTTGTGGCTTCTTTCAGCTCTTGAAGCAAGCGCCACGTTTGCGTTGCTGTTGTTGCAACATGCACCTAGGCCTTAGCCACTTTGAAAGTCCTCCTCTTTTCTTGTGCCCCCCTTTTGCACCTCCTCTTTTTACAACCCCTGTCACTAATTTAAATGCCGCAAGTGTTGTCGAGTTTCCTGTGGCTATGTGTGTTTTGCTCATTAGGGAATAATTTTGCTATGGGCCTTGCAGAAAGAAAAACATATATTTTATTGATTTTACCTGAAGTTTGACCGACAACAAAATCAAACTCAATGCGGTACATGGTTAACCCAATTCTAGGCGCCCACGCGCTCCCGAAAAGTTTGTTGTTGCTTGATCTAAAAACGAAATTCTCACCTATGCATGTACATATGTATGTAAAATAAATATGTAGAGATCTCTAGGCAAGCAGCCAACAAACCTACAAATACCAATAAAGCTGTTAGTACAGATAAACAGCTGGGGTCAAAACTTTATCACTAAGAATTTGCAATTCAAAGTCACTTAAAGTTTAAAGTAAAACTTGTTTTAAATAAATTATGTTTTTAAATTAATTTGTAATGAATGAGTGCAATACATACGTTGTCCTCCATTTCTAAAACTAGTTCTTGAGTTTAAGGCACTCTGTGGAAACGAATATGCATTCACTTATTTTTAATTATTCTAAATAACAGGGAACCAAAAGGACTACTGGGTTCTGTTTTTATTTGGTTTGCGGTTTGTATTATTTTTTTAAACTTTGCTGGCAAGAGAAAAAATAGTTTTTTTCTTTTCAATTAGGTTGATTTGAATATATTTTGTGGACAAGAGTAAAACAAGCTTTATTTGCCACTTTAAAATGCATTGGCAGATTAGTACGTGCGGCAAACTTTGTAGTGAATAATTTTTTCTTAAAATTTACCATAGGTAGTTTAGTTCTTGACGGATTGAAATTGAACAAAATATAAGTTTTTATTTGATCTCAGCTATTGTTTTGACCTCGGCTGTTGGTACTGTACGTTGTTGTTTGCCCAGAGTTTTCACACTTTTCGCCCCTCTCATCTTTGGCTCTCCCGTTAGTTGCATTGACTCTTTACGCCTGACGTTGATAAATGAATCATAAAAGCAGCGCTGTCGACGTCGCCGGCATAAGCAGACGGGCGCCAAAGTCGCCCTATGCCTCTCTCACACTCCTCCCCTCTCTGGTCATATGTTTGCCTGCGTTGCCGCCCACACGAGTTTTTCAATGTTTTTGTTGTCCCCATCGTTTTATTTCCTCTTTCGTGTTGCTGTAACTCCTAATGCGTGTGCTGCCTTGTTTTTGTTTCGAGCGATAATCGAAGCCACTCTTATTATCGCAACGAATTCTTTGTGGCTCTCGATCGTTAACGTGGGCGAGAAAGCAGAGAAAGAGCGCCCCGTTGATACCGTTGAAGTGTGTTGCATGGGGTACAGTGGTTGCTCTCTACTTGGAATTCCAATAAAATTATATTTCTTTTCTGGAAAATGTTTTTTGGCATGGAAATAACAGATGGTTTCAATAAAGTCAATTGTTGAAAATTAATTAATAATTTAGATCAGAAAATAAATCTTCTAAAAATGTGCGATTTGAGAAAAAGAAACTGCAATAAATAAAATTGATTTGAAGCAATTATTTGTCAGCATTAGAATATACTCATTTTTTACACTTAGGTTTAGTAATAGCATTATTTATACCATTTCGTGGCTTAGAGGTAAATACCTTAAATGATTAAAAAAAAAGGTCATTAAAATACTTAAAAGCCGCTTTTGAAACACTGTAAACTGCTGCACTCTCCCGCTTTATGTTCTCCGCTCCCGTTCTCTTGGCGCGATATGTGTTGTTTGTTGCCTTTTGCCGGCTGCTCTAGTGGCAGTGACACTCGAGAGTGAGAGTCACACCGACGGAGCAACTGAGCAACGGCCCCACAGTCCGATTTAGTTCGCCGGACGGCCCATATTGATAAATTTATTATTGTGGCTACATCTTTCCTCTCCTGCACCAGCTCCTTGTGTTCGTGTGTGTGTGGGTGTTTTTTTAACATTTTAAAAAAGCAAAACAAAATGCTTTTCTCATGCCAAAAAAATTGAGAGCACACAATTTTGACGTGATCTTCAAGAAGATCGAGTAAAAAAACATTAATAAAGTGCCAAAGTTGTATAATTTTGTGCAGAATTCTGTGAAACACACAACGCTTAAGTGTTCGCGAAATATATGCAAACAATCTTTCTTTTATTGTTGTATGACAAATTTAAAGTTTTGCGGAACCATATGACGCGATTCTAATAGGGCGGAGAATACAGAAAGAAATATATAGTAAGATAAGCTGCGGTACACTTTTTCGATAGATAACAGAGGGTTGGAGCGCTTGAAAATACTCCGAACATTAAATCATTTTTGCACAGTTCCGGTTTTTAATATCAGTAAAATTGTTTTAATTCGAAATCACGGTTTATTTTACTAATTAGCTTTAAGTTTTTTCTCTTAGAAAACTTTTCTGACATTAATCACAGTCTCATTTTTGGTAAAATTGCTTTCAAGAAAAAAGCTGTGTTTTTTTAAATAATAGTCTAATAAAATCACAATCGTTAAAATCATTTTTAATAAAGCCACTTTGTTCTTCAAATTAAATAACACTGAAAACTTAATTGCTATCTCTGTTATTTTTAGTTGGGAGTTTGTTTATTAACGAAAATGAGAAGAGTACTTTTCTTATTCCGCAAACAATGATCTTTTTCTCCCACTCTCGACAGCTGTTTTTCTGGCCTTAGAACAGCTGTGAATAAAGGGGCTGTACGCGAACCAGAGGCGGAGAAATTTGGAGCTAACCAGAAGAGCCAGAAGCACCCAAAGTCAAAGGCATGTCCAGCGAGGAAGACAAACCGCCGGCGCCGCCCGTACGTCTTACCAGCAATCGAGGCGGCATCGAACGATCCGTGGGGGGAGGTGTGGGCGTCGGCGGCGGAGGTGGGGGTGTCGGCGATGTGCCGCCCGACATGCGTCCGCTGCCCAAAGGTGAGTACGATTCGATTAGTTGTGTACGGCATGTGGACATCGCTGGTCCGCTTAACAATGTGTTTTTTTCTCTTTCCCCCAAAAGAACCTGACGACTCCGACCGGAAGAAGAAAACGCTGAAGAGCAAGATCAAGGGCTCGAAACCCTCGCACGCGGACTCCAAGCCAAACATCTCATATCCCACGAACTTTGAACACACGGTCCATGTGGGTTTTGATGCTGTTACCGGCGAGTTTACGGTGAGTTCTTATTATGCCCATTCCCGAACACCTTCAGTCGTGGTTGCCTCGCTATTATGTTTACGAGAATAGCAAGTCTGATATCTTCGGTTATTTATTGCTAATGTCCTCTATTTGATAAACAGTCACCAGCATACGACTTTAAGTTTAGCTTCCAGGCTTAACATTTTTATCATTTTTGGGTGATGAGGGTAATTATAATACATGTACGATGAAACATGTATTTACCTTTATTAAATAATAAAGGGTTTTCGTCAGACCATAAATAATAATCGTATAAACTTAAGATCACCTAAATTTTGTAAACGAATATTTAATAACAAATTTTTGGTATGAAAATACATTTTTTTGATTACATAAAATATTTACATTGTTTAGTATTAAATATTGCTGGCCCGTTCACCCAAAGATTTTACTATTTGTACTTTTTTTTGCCGCTTTCAAAATATATATTACACCGTACTTGTACATACATTTTGTTGTCTATATCTTTCTCTCGCGATACGTGCTCTATATCGATTTCTATTATCCATTATAATTTCAAGCTGCCAATGAAAGTAAGTAAACTCCACGACTAACTCTTCGGAACTTGCCTTCATTAGTTACTCAAAAATGTCTCATTGTGTTCCTTTGTCTATCCAATTTGTCAACTCGGTGTTCTCTTCAAGTTCAATCGTTGTTATTCATAGTTTTCATTTTGTTTGTTACGACTAGTCCTATCTTTGTACTTTCACAATATTCCTACACTAGACCATACAACATAACACCGACCCATGCTGCCTAGAATTAGTAGTTGAAATGCCTTTTGTCGCCGGCTTTACATTTTCCCCTCCGATCGGAATAATTGGACGTGCATTGATGTACCCAAAATCCAGGAATTTTCTTTAACCCATTTAGATGTACTCCTAATGCTGTTATTGTGTTAAGTAATAGTTTTTAATAGACTGACCTGTGGCCTTTTTGCAGGGCATGCCGGAGGCATGGGCGCGACTGCTGATGAACTCGAACATCAGCAAGCAGGAGCAAAAGAAGAATCCCCAGGCTGTACTCGATGTGCTCAAATGGTTTGATAACACAACTAAACAGAGGCCAAGTTCCAAGTACATGACCAATGCCATTACGACGCATTCAGGTTGGTCACTTTATAGAATTTATTATAATTTAAGAATCTTAAAGTTTGACACTAACATTCCTATAAAAAAATAATAATAATAAATTCCTATCCTTATTAATATCTGTTTATTTCCTACTGGTTCTAATGAAACCCCTACATTCCCAGGCTCGTCGCTTAGCCGTGTCAGCAGCAGCAGTCCAAGCAGCACACCCACGGACTCAGAACTGCACGGATCCAATAGCGGTGGCAACCTGATCGGCGTTCAACTAGGCAGCATGACCTTGGGACCCAATGCCAACAACGTGGCTGTGGCTGGCCAAATTCTGGGCAACCACTACCAACAGCAGCAGCAGCACCTCCTTCAGCAGCAGCAGCAACAGTTGCACCAGAATCATAACCAGCATCACATGGGCATAAGTCAATCGCACTCGTATAACTTTGTCGGACACACGGCTTCCGCATCCACATCGCAACATTCATCCGCCAACGAGGACGACATGCTGGGATCGCAGCATCCGCAGCAAGTGCAACAGCAGCCGGCGCCCCCACCGGTGGCTTCAAGACCGGAGCGCACGAAATCCATCTACACGCGGCCCATCGAGGATCTGCAGCCAGCCATCTTGCCCATCCCAGCGGCACCAGCGACCACGCCTACAACTCCGCTGCAGAATCATCGGGCGCAAGTCGGGATGGCGGCGCCAGTGGCGTCGCCGTTGCTGCACAACAATGCCACGACGACGCTGGACAAGAACAAAAACAATGCAAGTACGTGCCGCTCCAGGATATGTGGGTCATAGCTTAGTTGCATCTACCTTATGAAGAGCCTGGGCAGCAAGTCATGTAAAAGCTATTAGCTGCAAAATTATTTTCACTGGAACAATACAACTCTGACTTTTATTAGAAATTCGTTTTTTGGTAAAGAAATATTTTTTTGTTCCAAACTTGTTAGCCAAGCTCAACATACTTAAAATGGTACAGATGGTTAAAGACATTAAAAACATTTAATATGGTTAAGTCAAATCATATTCGTAAATATGTTTGCTGTGTTGCGAATACAAGAAGCTTTGATCTTACGTAGCTAACTTACTTGTCTGCTGCCAAGGCTCAAAGGTTTCGATGTGCCGCTAATAGTTTCTCTATGTTGCCTATTTGGTAAAACTATAAAATTTTTGTGGTGATATTGCTAATGAAGTTTTAATGAATGTGTATTTTGGTATTTGTATCGCCTCTCTGTGTTCTGTTCTGTTTTGTTCTGCTTCTAATTGCTGCTAAAAAAAATTAATTAAACAACGTAATAAAACAACTGCGACGACGCCAGCTCCAACGTCCCCAACAACCACAAAAACAACAGCAGAAACAGAAGGCACCGATGCAACATCAACTCTTTTGTCTGCTACTAATCCTAGTTGTTCTACCACTCCTACTACTGTTCCTGCTCCAGCTGCGTCTCGCGGTAGTCTTATCGAGACAACAACAGCACCAGCTACCACTGCAGCAGCAACAGCAGCCACAGCCACAACGACTAATCACCATTCCTCTGCTTCCTCCTTTTCATCATTTCCCTCGTTCCACGACGACGATGCCACACACCACACCCTGCCAACGATCCATTGTCCTACGCCGACGTCTTCCGCTCGCAACTCAACGGTTCCGCTTCCGGTTGCGGTTCCTATGCCGCCCATCATCACGCCCGCTTCGCCTACACCCGCCTCCGTTGGATCATCAGATCTGTATACGCCGGAACCAACGGCGGCACAGGTGGCAGCCGCTGCTGCTCCTCCGCCGGCGGCCGGTAATCAAATCGCCGTGCCCCAGGCGGCATCTGTCGCGCCCAACACGCGAGCAGCTAACGCCAAGAAGAAAAAGATGTCCGATGAGGAGATCCTGGAGAAGCTGCGTACCATTGTCTCCGTCGGCGATCCAAATCGAAAGTACACCAAGATGGAGAAGATCGGACAGGGTGCCTCGGGCACCGTGTACACGGCCATTGAATCTTCGACGGGCATGGAGGTAGCCATTAAGCAGATGAACCTGTCTCAGCAGCCCAAGAAGGAGCTAATCATCAACGAGATTCTTGTGATGCGGGAAAACAAGCATCCGAATGTGGTAAACTACCTGGACAGCTACCTGGTGTCTGAGGAGCTGTGGGTGGTTATGGAGTACCTTCCTGGCGGCTCGCTCACCGACGTAGTCACCGAGACCTGCATGGACGAAGGCCAAATCGCAGCCGTCTGCCGCGAGGTGTTGCAGGCCTTGGAGTTCCTCCATGCCAACCAGGTCATCCATCGCGACATCAAGAGTGATAACATCCTGCTGGGCCTTGACGGCTCTGTCAAGCTGACTGATTTCGGTTTCTGTGCGCAAATATCGCCGGAGCAATCCAAACGCACAACAATGGTGGGCACTCCCTACTGGATGGCGCCCGAGGTAGTCACCCGGAAGCAGTACGGACCCAAGGTTAGCAGACTTCTTAATCATTGCAAATTAAGGCAATATCCATTATATTATATATATTGAGACCCACATAAACTATTTAATAAATTATTTTCAAGTACACTTTTAGTAGCTAACATCTTTCTGAGTCCCAGTTAACTTTCTTTATTGTTATGATTACTAATTATTATACATCAGTAAACACAATTTTTGATTTTTCGTTAGTTAATAAAATTAAAATAAGTTGAGTTACCTTAAAAATATCAAAACTTTGGCGTTATTATAGGAAAATCAATTTCTAAAAAATTCGAATTCTGACGTCCCTTTTTTCGCGCAGGTGGATTTGTGGTCGCTCGGCATAATGGCCATTGAGATGGTTGAAGGCGAACCGCCCTATTTGAACGAGAATCCTCTCAAAGCCTTGTACCTCATTGCCACCAATGGCAAGCCAGAGATTAAAGAAAAAGACAAGCTGTCCGCAGCATTTCAGGACTTCCTCGACCAGTGCCTGGAGGTGGAGGTGGAACGGCGAGCCAGTGCATTGGACTTGCTGAAGGTGAGTCTCTCAGTCGACCTGCTGACCACTCTCCTATCACAAGCACCTCCTCTTCCCATTGCAGCATCCCTTCTTGAAACTGGCCCGTCCATTGGCCAGTCTGACGCCTTTGATCATGGCCGCCAAGGAGGCGACCAAGGGCAACTGATTGACAACCAAGAAGAAACCGCTTATTTAACCATTACTAATGAATTACTACTGCAGAAAACAACAAGAACAACAACAACAGCAACAACCACAATAGCAACAATAACAGTTATGCATATGAACAGATGATGAATTATTAATGATTATGATTACTATTATTAATTATTTATATAAACGTATTATATACACACATATTATTATATTATATCTATTCTAATGAGACAAACAGCAAAACTAAGAAAAACTGCTTACGACAAACAAGAGACACGCGTAGTTCAATTTCCACAAATCGGTTTTCTGTTTTTATATATAAAAACAAAAAAGGAGTGCATGTTGCTTTGGCATTACATCATCGAAATACGTTTCTGAACATTTGTTATACCAAAACATAAATTTATATTTGTATAGACCCGAAATTTGTATTAAGCATTTTGAATGCTTTTCAAATTGTATGCTTAAAAATGACCTATAAAAGAGAAAACAAAACACTTATAAATAGTTGTCAAGATTGAAACATAAAAATTGGTAACTTTTGCATTTAAAACAAATGAAAATATACATACAAACTTGTACAATGTATAAAGCACTTAATTTCATTTCTTTTGTCATTACATTTCTATAAGAAAGCTTAAAGAATAATTATATGAGAGTATGAACTTTGGAACGCTGTTACTAACCTTATGACTTGGAGTATTATTGCTGATTTTAGTAAAAGTTTCATTAAGTTCATAAACTGCTTTATTTAATAAATATATATTTTTATATGATTTTAAAATTTTGTTTTTTTGCTTGATTTTAAGTTGCTTCGGCTTGTTATTTCTGAAACTTTTCCTTTCGAGAGAAATATCCTTCTTTTTACACTGACCAACACATCCCTAACTCCAACACAACTTCCACCCGCCCGTTTCTTGCAATTTTTTTATGTCTGTATATGTAGATGTATATCAAAAAGAAACATTTAATTGTAATAGAATTTACTATTTAGATATAGACACATATAGAAACACAAAGACACCTGTATTTTTCAATTTACAACAATAGAATGTGTTTTGCACGTCAAAAAGAACAACAACAAAACTGTAGCAATATATTAAAATATAATTGTAATGAGAGGGAATTATGGAAACCACACTAAACTGTTTAATTGGTAGTAGCCACTAAATATAACTAGTAAATAATGAATAGTGTAAAAATTCAATCGTGAACCATGAGAAAAGAGAAAGATAAAATGAAAACCAGTTACTTTGTGCCTAACCGAAACCGAAAAATGAAATCAATAAGAGCAACAACAAGTAAATATTAACTGATAGTAACTAGCAGTTGTAGCGTAACATAGAGAATCGAAATTCTAGCATATATAGAGCAGTCAACTAAAACACCAGCTAACATAGATAGCATGCTTGAATGGGTGCGTGTATATTGGGGTGCTGAAAGGATCGGTCGAAAGTAATAAAATTACAAACCATATTTCTTTAAAATATTAAGGCGAATGCATTTTCTCATTTAATTCATTATTTTGCGTCTCAGGTCATGCTCAAATTATGCTTTACTGATAAAAAAATCGATCTTTATTTGAACCACTTAAAAATTGTACAAATATTTATTGGAGATATCGGTAATAATTTGTTGTATTCATTTTGTGCGACGTTTTAAAGATTTGAGTCAATCAAAATAGGTTTTTAATTATTTACGTCAACGGACTAATTATTCTACCTGTTTTGGTTTAAAAATATAATTCGATGGAAACATTGAAAGCCAGAGCCTGCATCATAATCCATACAGCGTGGACGACAACTCGATTGTGCTACATAACCGATCGTGCCCTTCAAAACAGGGTTATCAAATTAGTTAAGCTTGTGCTAAAATCATTTAAACACCAAAATCAGAAATAACTTTATACAAACGAGAGGAAAAGATTTCTTTGAACACTGAGAAAACATTAATTTCAATATAAGTTCCTAACACATAAACATTTTCCACGAGAATGGAAAGAAGTCTGGCTTTGAAAACGAATAAAATTACGGATTATTTGTATTTATTTTTAGATATTAGAAAACTTGGCTCCAGTGCAGAAATAATGTGTATTAAACAATAACGGTAGCGATGAGGCAAACCGATGAATGGGTAAATAAGTACATAAAGAATTATAAAAACCAAATTGCAAAATGAAAAGTAAAACAAGATCAACTTATAGATGAAAAACTTTAACATAACGTATAAATGATCAATAAATATTTATGAATGAAAAAGAGTTGATTGTGTCATTATTTTTAATTGCATTAATGTGTGTATTTTAATTTATTCATTTAAAATATTAGAAGTTACAGAACTTCGGCTTAGTATAATAATTTAATTGTTATGATTAAATTGAATAGTTTGCAGTTTACTTTATAATGCCACTACTTGTTGCGACGCGTTGACTCAGAAGCTGTTGGGGGTGGTGGCGGTCCGCGCTTGTTAAGCTCCTCCAAGAATCCGAGCACAATAGTGTTTCTCTCCTCCTCCATGTGATCCAGCACCAAATAGCTATGAGGAAATGTATATGTGTTAACATTTGTAACAAAAAATATACTCGATTATACAATATTAGGGATTCTAATCTTACCGCTTGTCGTTCTTCAGTATGTCCTGAATCTCCTTGAGATGGTTGGGATTTTCCTTGATGAGATCGCTGCTCTTGTGGGTAATAAACTTACACTCTTGCAAGAGTTCCCGAAGGGAAGTCTTTGCTGTCATCGTTTTATCCTTTATGTAGTCTCGGAACTCGCGCTCTCCTTTGTCCGAATTGTACTTCAGATATCGCGGATCCTCTTTGATCAGCTTTTTAATCTCCTTCCAAGTGCTAGTGAGCTGCAGAGTGCCAATCTCGTCCAGCATTTCGCGGAACCGCTCTCGCTTTTTTTTCATCAGGTTGTCAATGTGCTCGTTGAATTTGCTGTAAAGGTGAAGTTATTCGTAATACACTAAAATATTATATAATTTGTTGTCCTCTTACCGCTCGCGGTCTTCTCGATCGAGGGTCTCAATCAGTTCCCAGCGATGGTCCTTCCGCAACTGGCGCTTGACCTCCTTCCATGTAAAGTCCGGCGTACGCACTAGATCTGTTAGCAGAGCCGTGAAGTGACCAATGCACTCTTCGCGCATGTGGTGCTCGCGCTCCTTGTCCCGATCCCTCAGATGCCCGGCCAGGGTTCGTTGCACCTCCTTCTCTCGCTCCCGGATGCTTTGCTCCGCCCTCAGCTTCTTTTCGCGCTCTTTTTGCTTTTGCTCAGCCTCGTTTTCCCGCTGACGAGCCACCTCGCTGTCGACGCTGCCCGCTCGTTCTTCTCTATCGGAATCCTCGCGATGCTCGCCCTCCTCCTACAGAAAGTAGAAAACAATTTTTATTTGGTAAAGCTGATTTGAATAATGCCAGTATAATGTGAATATAATCGATGGTATTACTAAAACCATATCAATTTTTCCAGTACAAATTATAAGGAAATATTTCAAGCTTTCAATTCGTATGTATACATTTTTTTGCTGCTTACTAAAAATAAATTAAATATCACCTTTGTGACTTTAATCTTTGAGATAAAAATATAAATATGTCAAACAAGGTGGTTTAGGCATTACTTATATATGGGTATATACATTTGAATGGAAAAAATGGTTAAATCGCCATGAGCTATAGCAGCATCGACAAGAATATTTTTGCGTTATGGAAGCTTTGCCCTACCTGATATATACTATCTATTTCTAGAATGGAAATGATGGTATATACACTAACAAATGGTATGCTTTAATTTGAAGCTATTAAATGTAATTTGTGACTTACCGGAGTAGTATCCCGTTTCTTGATTTTCTCCGACTTGCCCTTTTCCTCCTTTATTTTTTCCTTTTCCTTGGACGACTTGCGTTCGCGATCCTTGTCCCTCGAGCGACTGCGTCCTCGATCCTTGCGACCCTTGTCCTTATCCTTTTCCTTGTCCTTGTCCTTCTCCTTGTCCTTGTCCCTATCCCTCCGATCCGATTTGCGTTCGCGATGCCGCTCTCGTTCCCGCTGTTCACGCATTTCTCGCTCCTTTCGCTTCTCCTCCTTCATTATGTGCAGATAATCCTCGAAGTACTCCTCCCGATACAGGGAGTCCACTATCCGGTAGCGGGGGTCAGACTCAAACTTCTTCTTGATGTCGTACCACCTGGTGTGGCGTTCGATGTCGTGCCTTTCGCGCAGCATATCCAGAAAGTCCTTGCGGATCTAGAGTTTGTGAGTGTATGTGAAAGGAATATTGACATGACAGCCATGCGGAAGAGAAGAGAAATGCGAAAAAAAGATCGAATTAGAGGTCTGGCATTGATGCGCCCTTCACTTAACATTCTATTACTTAATGGTCTAACCTAAAGCTTAGGACTAATGTTTCTTAAGCTATTAAACATAGTTACACGATTTTGTGCCTGCAAGAGAAGGGTTTTGATTAGCGGTCAAAGACTTAACTGAAAAAGAACGCAAGATTAGTTCAGGTCCTGCTGGCTGAGAGAGAAGGGGGCAGGAACAGACTCGAATCGAACCACGGAATCAAGTAATGGCAAAATAAATAAAGAAAAATGGTTTCTTAAAGTATAATTCACTGAGCTGTCGGTTTGATTTAAGTGCATAAATCAAATTGCCAATTGAATTTTTTAATACAGTCTACGGTGTGACTGACAACATTATTTTTTCTGAAATATATAAAGATCTGGATTTGAAATACGCACTAATAAATGTAATTAGCTAAGCGAATTATACTCTAATCTTATATCCAAAAATAAGAAGTGCGGCAGGTATGCAAGTATACAGTAGTGCTTGATAAAATTAAAACATACAACAAAGTCTTGAGTAATGCAGGTGCTAGGAAGAAGCAATAGTTGTAGGATGTGGTTGTTTATTACAAAAAACGGACCAGCTAACCCCTTCTCCTCTCTCTTGACTTACAGGCCGACGAGTTAAGACTTCAGCAAGGCCGAAGGGTACAATAGTCAATAGATCTACAGTAAGAATATGGTATACGGTAAGGATACGGGGCAAAGAGCCTTTCAGCGACTTTGGGCCGCTGTCTGAACCTGCGAGAGCAAAGTTTTGAGATGTTTCGGCTTAAAAATCTCGTAATTCTTTGGTCTACGCAGGTGGGATTGGGCTGAGTTCGGTTCCTTGGTCTTGCCTCTGTCAGGTGACAAACTGCTGAGTGTTTTCATTATTTGTAAACAAAACGAAAATAGTGGGTTAATTAAATTAAGTATTATTCATACTGTTTGCTCAGCGCCGCAGACACCTGCAAATGTATTGCTGTCGCTCTGGATCTCCGGAACAATCTCTCTGTCTGTCTCCTGCTCGTTGGCATCCATCCGAGAGCCCAACGCGAACTTCAAACATCATCACTCATGATCTCCCAATGCCAATCACATCATCGCATCATCCTCTTCATCACATCGCATATTACATCCGAGAGGGGCGACGTGGGGCGTAGGGCGGGAAGTGGAAATCACACCAACGATTATCAGGTAATTTTCAGTTTGGCAAACCTTTCGATATTTTGTTTTTATTGTTTTTATATTTGTTTTTTTCCAAATTTGTTTCTTATTGCAGAAAAACAAATTTTAATGTTTTTGCTTTGTATGTTTTCAAGTAACTCACCACACAGATTGCAAGCATGTGCGTGGTCAAGTAGATCAGTGGACGGCGATGACAGACGGCGGGCGGAATTGACTGTTGAGGTGGTTGTACAGGTGATTCTTGATGCTGTTGCTGTTGTGTATTTTGGTGTTTTGGGTGGTGCATTTGTGCTGTAACCTGCTAGCTAGTGGCTAAGGTATCGGGTGGCAAACCACCGGGAACCCAACACGTTCAGGGGTAATGCAATCGATCAGGGTTCGGATTCGGTTTCATTTTCAGTTTGGTTTGATTCGGTTTCGATTCACACGTTGTTTATGGTTTAAAAGTTAACAGAAAATCAATCACATTATGTAAATACTTTTGGCATACAGGTAAGTTAAATATATATAAAGATATGCATTTATGTTTAAACATCGAGATACGTAAGGTGATGGGGTTTGGCGCTCGACTATACCCAAAGCCTACCTGCTCTTTCTTCAGCTGCTTGTCCTCCTTCTCGCGCCGACGCACCTCCACGATGTACTCGTTGAAGAGACTCTCCCGCTCGCGGACCTTTTCGATGGCCCGATACCGCTCTTCCTTCGCGTTCTTCTGGCTGAATTCCGAGAACGAGGATCTGCAAAAAGATCTACGGTTAGCAAATATAAAAAGCAACTTTTCCCAGAAATGGTTTCTCAGTGCAAATTAAAAATACCTTTCAATATGTTCCATTTTAAAAAAGTTTAAATAAAATTTAATAAAATCGTTACAACGATATTAAAATAATGTAAAAGAATAACTTTTAAATTTGGATTTTAAAGGGAAAATTGCAAAATTTGTTTAAGTGCTGAAAAAAGTAGTATCCCCTTTTTACTAGGCTAATAAACTCTATATTATTCGTTTGAACTGTAAAACCAAGTATAAAAGTGCAGGAAATTATAAAAGTTCAATCTCTTTTTACTGAAATATAAGAATCTATCTTAATTTTGTATGAATATCAAATGGATTTGCATATTCCAACTTGTATAGCTCACGACGGCTGTTAATAACGATTATGTTGTTGTCTATATATAAAATCTAATAATATATGTATAATTCCCCAATACTTACTTGCCATGCAGCCTGGCTTCTTCCATTAGGCTACGGAAGTCCTCCCGCTTCTGGCGCATCTTGTTCCGTTTCTCCTTACGCTCTTCCTCGGCCCGATCCTTGACATACTTTTCAAATACCTGTTTGCGTTCCTTTGACGTCAGCAGCAGATAACGCGGATCGAACACGATCTTGTGAAGCTCCTTCTCCCATGTGCTGAAAGCCGATACGTCCTTCTCCCTAAGCATCTCCTTGAACTGGGTGACGCGCATCTCCAAAGGTACCAGGGCCCGCTCCTTGGCCGCCCTCTGCTCAGCCTCTAGGGCAGCATCCTCGGCCCTTTTCGACTTTGAAACTATTAGCATCGAAAGCAAAAATAGGTTAAAAATAAGTTAGGAGATTTCTCAGTTTATAAAATTAGTAACGGAAACGAAAACGGGGCTCAATTTACAATTAATGTTTTTTTTTCTGATATACAAAATATTAAAAAGGGTACATTCAAAAGGTCCCCTTTAAGGCCTTTAAGGAAAGCAAACAAAAACTTACTCATTCGCACTCGTTTTGTGGGCACTTCCTCCACACTGGACTCGGATTCAGTGCGTATCTTAATCACCTCGTCGTCATCATCATCCTCTGCTTCCACTCGTTGCACCTGCTCTTGCTGCTGGGTTTGGACTTGAGCTTGAGCCTGTTCCTGTGCGGCCTCCTCGCTAGATTTCTGATCCGCTTCAGCTGACTTCTCCTGCGGGGTCTTCAGCTGTTCGGGTCGCTCGTTTACCGCCTTGTCAACGTCCTCGCGATTCATCAAATCCTCGGGGCGATCCCAAACTGAAGTCCTCGTCGAAGGATTATAAAAGAAGACGCGGGCATCTCCAGTCCACACGACACACCAGGGAGTTCCGGCAATGGGTGTACTTGTCACCGGTCGACTCTTGTCCGTCTGCTTGGCGGTGGCCGCCGCCTTCTTTTGCTCCTCCTCCTTTTTCCGCTTCTCTTCCGCCGCCTTCTTAGCCTCCTTTTCCAGAGCGGCAGCCTGCGCCGCCTTAGTGTTCTCCGAATTCGCTTTCATTGCTGCGGCAGCGGCCGCAAAAGCAGCATGCGGGTCGAATCCCGGCGGCGCAGAGCCCGGTGGCATATGCATCATGGGATTGGGTAGCAGATGGGGTGGCAATCCGGACGGAGCCACAGCAGGCGCCACCCCAGAGTGGGCTGCCATGCGGGCGGCCTCCATGTCCCTCAGCGCCTGCGGCTTCTCCCAGACACTCTCCCCTCGACCGGCATGAAAATAGTACGGTCTGCCATCGGGAGCACGATGTTCTGACCACTCTGCAGCTCGTCCAATTACAGCTGGATCGATAACGCCCGGCTTGATAATCAGCGACTTAGCTGGCTTATTATCCTGGCCTCCGTGCATGTGTTGCTGTTGTTGCCAGGGCGGCACGCCCACGCCCCAAGGCGCTCCACCTGGAGCCGCTCCTCCAGGAAATCCGTACGCCGGTGGCGGCATGCAGAATGGCGGCTGTCCAAATCCGGGAGGCGGTTGCATCCCAGGTGGCTGAAACATGGGCGGTGGCTGCTGACGCACATTTGGTGGCGGCTGAGATAGCAGAGGAGCTGCCGCATTTGGTGGTGGTTGACTCATCAGATGTGGCGGCGGTTGCGAAGTGAGATGGGACGAAACTGCTGGAATCTCGCCGGTCGTCTCGCTGTTTTTGGGCTCCACCTTGGCAGCCTGGGCTGGTCGCTTCGCCATCTCTTCCACCTCGGCCTGGGTCATAATCTTAACATTGGGTCCTTCGGGTCGGGTCCAGGTGGTTTCCCTTGTCACCGCATGGTAATAATAGGACCGTCCGTCCTCCGCCTTGGTTTCTACCCAGATTTCCGGGGGACCCGTCACACCATTTGCTCCAGGGGGAGGTTGTTGTTGCTGCGGCTGCTGCTGTTGCGGCTGTTGCTGCTGCTGCAGAGCCTGCTGCTGCGCTGTGTGCTCCCCAATGGGTCGACCACTGAATGCATTGAACGGCTTGCTCCTAAAATTGGGTCAAGGTAAAAAAAACATGAATGAAAAACGCACTGACTTTTCCCTGACTACGCACCACTGGGCTTCGTTGGGTTTTTCCTTGGCTATAGCAACGCCATTATTCGGGGCCTCCTGGCTGCCACTGCCACTACCACTGCCGTTTCCATTGAGGCCCACTCCTGGAGGGGATTCCTTCGCCTCCGTCTTGCTGATCGGCGAACTGGTGTGCTCGCTGTCCATGCTCTCCTCTAGACTCGCTTCCATTGCACACAGATCTCACTGTACGCACTCTCTCACTTTGCATTTAGAAATTTTCAGAAAATTTTCTGCACTTTTCTGCCGCTAGAGATGTAAAAACAACCAATTGAAATCGATAAGTACGTTATCGAATAAAGCGTACCATGTGGCAGCACATGATGCAAATGATGTTGCCAGACCGGTTCGAAATGATTTAAAAATATAAATACCTAACATAATGTAACTTAGTTATTTTCCACATAAGGCCATTAGATTAAAAATATTTCATGAATATTTATATGGGCAGTCAATCAAATCACATCCCTTTTAATAATAACAACCAATATTCTATATTGAGTGTTAAGTACTTAGCATGACAATCTTCATAAGATATGTATAATTTATCTCAAGTTAGCATTATTAACATTATGCTAAATGAATTGTGGTCAGCACAGCATTTTAAGTCGTGCTAATTTGTTTTAAACTTGACATTAAGACCATAAAAAAGAAAGGACGTTAGCTTTTCTTAAACGAAATGCGCAAAATGGCGTATATCGAAGCTTAAATAATTTCATCATATATCCAGACGTCCTGGTGAACGCGACCTGTGATCACTGATCAAGTGATGCTGATGAACGCACCCATATTTTGCGTTGGTCCGAGCCTGTTAGGTTTTCCTAGCGTTGCTTGGTCACACTGCTGCTTGTAAACACGTGCAGTTGCAATGGGAAAAGTCCGGAAAGTGAAGACACGGACGCCCTCCGGCGTGGACACGTCGGCGGATCTGGAGCATGTCCTGGGCTTGGAAGCGGAGGGCGTGGCGGAGGGCTGCGGGCCCATCGAGGCGATCTGCGTGCACCTGCAGCGAACGGATGTGGAGGACAAGCTGAACGGACTGCACTCCTTCGCCGTGCTGGCGCTGCGCAAGGAGAAGGTGCGCGAGATTTGTGGCAGCGAGCTGGTCCGGATTGCGGCCCCCCTGCTATGCGACAAGGAGAGCGCCATCCGGAACGCGGCGGCGGGGGCCTTCCGGAACCTTTCTGTTTTTGGCACGGAGGTGTGCGACTTCCTCGTGGAAAACGACATAATGACCGCCCTGCTGACTCTGATCCGGGGCTACGACCTGACCAAAAATGGCTTTGAGAACGAACTACAAGCGGACACCTTCCTGCAGGCGATTCATCTGCTCCGGAACTTGTGCGAGAGCTCGCCAACAGCCACAGAAGCCTTCAATCAGGCAAACTTCCTTCCCAGCCTGCTTATGGGCTTCGATTACCGAAAATTCGGACTGGAAATTGCCATTTCGGTGGCCCAACTGGTGTTGGTGGTGTCCGAGAACAACTCCAGCTCATGGAACGTCCTGGCCGGCAGTAGCGCGCTACCAGAACTCCTTAGTGTTCCGGCAGAGAGCCACGCACAACTTTACCTTAACGCCCTGGCCGCTGGTATATTATGCAACGTGCCCGCCTGCTCAGCAGCCCACACCCGGGAGATCCTGACCAGTCTAGACAAACTGCTCACCATCGATCCGCAGGCTCAGCTGTTGAGTTGTAAAAACGAGATACTGAATGCCAAATCGAACAATGAGGCACCAGTGCTGGAAATCTCAATGGAAACCGAGGAGATGACGGAATCCCAGAGCGCCAATCCGTCCAAACCTAACCAATGCGATGCTGACGTGACACTCAAGAACCTGGAGCACTTGCTTGACGCCCAACGACTGGTGGCTGAGATTGTCACGAACTTGGGATCCAGCGATGAACAGAGCAACTGGGATACGGACAGCGAGCAGTCTGAGACCGAGATCGTGGCAGATTACGACATGGAAGACGATCCAGTTGACAGCGGTGCGGGTGGATTGCCCGCCAACTTCTTGGAGACTATCAAACAAAACAAGGTGGTCGAGAAGCTTTGGCAAAAAGCACAGCCTTTGGATCCAGCTTTGGAGAAACTTCTGTTCCAGCAGGACAATATCAAGGAGAAAGTGGTTAAATTACGAGTGTCCTATTTGATTTGTCTCCAGAACCTATGTAACGTGCTGGCTGCAGAAGATTTGGGCGGCTACAGTGAGGTCTACAATATGTGGATGAACTTGGGTCAGCAAGCCTTTAAGGGAACCGAAAATGTAGATGTACTGGAGGCTATCACCTCGCTGATGCGCTCCTCACTGAGTTTGCTTAAGTCGCGCAGGGATCTCTTTAGTCAGATGACCGAAAACGACCTGAACATGATTATCGAGGGAGCCAGCAACTGCACGGATTTGAATATCCGGGTTAACTGGAACCGGATGCTGGGTACTCTGGGCTCCCTCCTCTCGGAGCCACTGGTTAAGGTTATAGTGCAATTTCTGTTGACTTTGTGTGCCAAGGAGGAGGATCTGTGGGCCTTGTCCGAAGGACTCGATGCTCTTATGGACATTTTTGCAGTGGACGACTGGCCGCAGATCATCGCGGAGCTGGAGATGTGCGATCGGGTGCAAGCCCTGGAGGAATCGTTCAAGGCAAAGCTGCGCCAACAGCGACGTGAACTGAAGGAGAGACGAGCCACCATCTACACAGTAAAAACCAATTTTTCACGCTTCGTCTCGTATCTGAGCAAGAACTGTAAACAATAAAATTAACCTGACGACAAGTAAATGTAATTCTTTACTTCAAGAAAAAGTTATTCTAAGATAATATATTTTACTAAGCTGAAAAGCAAAGTATTTGTTTATCTTCAAAATATTTTTACATGCTGTATGCCCTTGCAAATAGTATTCTAGTTAGTTTTTCCCCGTTTTTTTTCAAGTCAATAAATAAATAGACATTAAACATTAAATATTCAGTTCAGTTTATATATTGTTTAATGTTTTCTTTCTTTTTCATTTGTAAACTGTTCAAGTCAATGCAGAAAAATATAGTGTTGCAAATATCGCCTTCACTGCGTTGCATACTTTAAACTAAAATTATAGTGCTTCCTGCAACGGTACTTTTAAGGCAATATAAATTAAGCCGTTCAAGGTGTAAACAATCTGCAAAAATATATTATTTTTGATTATTTTTACAATTTGGATTTAGGCGTCACTGAATTTTCCAGGACATCCTTCATTTGAGAAAAGGATTGCTCCAGGATCTTAGCGAACTTCAAGTGATCTGTTATCGGACAATAACGCCAAGCAGATATGGCCAAGATAATGTCGTGTTCACGAGGATTATAGCAGCAAGCATATCCATCGTCAGTAGCCGGTCCATATCCCATGAAAGCTTCATATTTAGTGGCTACCTGCGAGGTGGACATGCGAAAATGACTGGACTTTACAAAGCCAGGTGATGAAAAAAACTCTGGAATAGGCTGGCGATTCTCCTGAGCCATCAGCTTTAGTCCAAGAAGGTGACGATCGACTCCTTTCCCTTGAAGGGCTAGTTTAGCATACATCTGATGAGACATTACTGCCTCACGAAGTTTATCAGCCCGCACCTGGTCTGTGGCATTCGAGTCCTGCATAGCGCGGCAGAAGGCCAATGATTCGTTGGAACACGAGCGTATAGTTTCAGTTCGTCCGCCATCGAATATGCGCAAGTGAGCTGACTCATATTGCGCAGCTGGCTCAGAGTGCATTCTGCAAATAATAAGAGATTATTGTGAAAGATCTAACCGTAAGTTAAACCACTTACTTGAAGAAGGCGAGTTGCAACGCTATTTGAATAAAACTGTCCGGTCCCAGACGTTGTTTTTTAATGAAGTCCTTTCCAAATCTGTCGAACTTGAGAACCTTCATTTGAAGGTCTTGTGCAAGTTTATCAACGTTTTGCTGTGCGACGGCCAAAGATTGCTCTACGCTTTTGTTAAGGGAAGAAATCTGTATTTTCTGTGCAGGAGTAAAGTCCTCTGATCCGCTTTGCCCAAAGTTAGGATCATCCTTCCTAAAAATATATGCATTAGCGTAGCTCCTTCTTGTATGTGAATTTTTTGCTCTTACATCTTTTGAACAACATAGTCCATCATCATTGCAATGGGCTGGCCCTCAGCAGGTGAGTGCTCATAAGTGAATCCAACGTTTCCATTTGGGTTCACCACCAACTGAATAGTCTTGTCCATCCAGCGGTTTCCGCTGTTGACTTTGCTGCCACTACCATGGATCAGCGATAGAATTAGTTCGTCGACATCTTCACCTTCTTTTAAGGTGGTACCCTCGTCGAGGGAGACGGTAAACAGAGCACTCTGAATAGTTTTAAGGGCATCTCTGTTGCTAGGTGTATCGGACAGAAGTTCGTAGGCTTCGGCCCAGTTGTCCCTTGAATCGGTGGTTAAAATACCATAGGGAATTCCAACTTTGGTTTCCTTCAACATGATATTCTCCAGTTGAGCACCTAGGCATTTAGCAGCAATAAGCTTTCCCTGCTTGTTATATATTTGCAGTTTGTAAAACTAGGATAAAATTAAATGGTTAAGTATATAGAATGATATAGTATGGTTTGTACTCACATGATTCCTGAAGATCACCACTACATAGTCGGAGCTGGGATTGTAGACAATCTCATCTGTTCCCTTTCTTGGTATCCGGCATGTGCCAAATACTTTGCCGAACTGACTGTTGTCCAACTCGTTCTTGCCCATTTTAACAATAGGAATTTGGTCGGCATGCACCATGTCATTGAACTCACCCAGTCCAAAGATAACTCTGGCCGTGTAGTCGACAAAAGCGTGTGAGTCCTTGAAGTTTTGCTTGGGGAAGGTCATGCCTGGACTCACAAAGACAGTCACTGGCGATCGATATTGTAAGTAGGCAGCCTTGAGCCAGCGGTGGGCCAGCCAGTTTTTCTCCTTACTGCCAGTTTCCTCCAAGAGCTGCTGCAAATCACGGCCTTGCTTCTTCAAGAACTGAGCAGTGATCGCCTTCTGCTGTTCCAGCTCCTCTGGAGTCAGCAGGGGCTCAACAGTGGCCATAAAGCGATTCAGCGTTTCTTCGAGCGGCAGAACATGGTACTTCAGGAGGTTTGGCTGCTCCGAGGTTGCACTTTTTACAGCGGTGCTGTATCTGGCGGGTAGCACCCTTTTGGCGATCCCATTTTGAGACTCCTGCGCCAGCGAGCTCTTTGTCTGGAATGCGAATGGGATGTGCATTGTAGAAGGCTGTTTCATGAGTACTGCAAGATCTCACCAAATTCCACAAAAGCTTTCCATTCCTAGGGAACTTCATTTCGGCGTCGCGTTTTTCGAGGCAGCTCTCAAACGATGCGCTGCAAAAGGGAGAAATTGAATACATATGTAGGTCAATTCTTGGCCCGTTAGCACCCGTGGCCGTTCTAGCACGAAATTAACCTTTGGTATTTGTACATAATCTAGAAGCCGCTATGAGAAGCGATAAACAAATGGCTCACGATTAGCACAAGCTAGCAGTTGACAATCAACTTGCAATCAGACGAGCGATTCCACGTAGGCAGAAGGTGAAGAGCTCAACTCAAATGCTATCAGCGACCGGTTTACTTTCACTCTCACAGGTTGCGACTTTTCGAGGTCCATCGACGCTTCTCTGCCAGCGTTTTGTTTACTGGCTTCATTTCTGATAAAATATCTGCATTGAATTGCACCCGCTGTCTCCCACAATTATTATTATTACTATTAGGTAATTTTTGCTCACTTTTCTATTGTTTCCCCTCAGTTTATTATTATCCATGTACAACTCAAAACAAAGAACAGCTGTTATCATACAGCAGTTGGTAAGCGCTCAATTCGAATCTTTGGGTTAACTATGATGTTGAAATCAGACTCGTTTGAGTGCGCCGATTGTCCCAGCTTTAACGCGAACAAGATAAGATAAAAAAGTAAAGAATAATTAAATTTAAAATAAATAACTATACTATAAACTTTATACGGGAATATCGAGTTTAACAACTATCGATGTCATACCACCTCTAACGTGAGCCAGATAAAATAGGGGGATTGTGGTATACAAACCAGATAAAATTCAGGGACTCCGAAATACATTTAAATTGGATAATTCGAATTGGTGCAAATAAAATAATGGTCTAAGAAAAGGAGATTTTAAAATAGACAAAAACAAAAATATATATCCATAACAATTATATATATTTTTTATAGGATTGATTAGTTTTGGTAAGTTTTAAATTTTCAAAATCCCGTCATAGCAGTGACATACCAAACAAGAAAGGAAAGCTAACTTCGGGCGGAGCCGAAATTGAAATACCCTTGCAGAATATTTTGTAAATTATATTCTCCAAAATTATTCATATGATGCATTCTTAACACTCATTAAAATTCCCAACTTCCTAACTTAAAAAACGCCAAAGCTATGGCCTTTCCGATCATTCAGCTACATATATGGCAGCTATAGGATATAGTCGGCCGATCCGGCTCGTTCCGACTTATATACTACCTGCAATAGAAAGACAACTTTTGGGAAAGTTTCAAGCAGACTGAGGGACTAGTTTGCGTAGAAACGGACAGACGGACATGGCTAGATCGACTCTCCTGGTGATGCTGATCAAGAATATATATACTTTATAGGGTCGGAAATGTTTCCTTCACTGCAATTCATTAGCACAGAGATGTAGTTCCTATCCCAACTATTAGGTGGCAATCCAGATCCTCCAATCTAGTAGCTTTGCCTGGCCACTTTGATTTTTCCTGGATGACAGTTGCCATTTCCCTTTTCCCCATTTTCATTTGGCATTTGTCACCCGACGAGTGAGCAGCAGCTCTGGAAACGAAACAAATTTGGTTGAAGAGTTGCCCAAGGAGAAGAACACCAAGGCGAATGACGGGGTAAAGCCGCCCACCAAGCGGCAGAGGAAGGATCGCCGGGAGCGTAAGGAGCGCAAGAATCGCAAGGAGGTAATCGCCGCCGGAGGAGAAGGAAAAGGAGGAGCAGCTGGTCCAAGAGTTAGGAACAGGTCGCCCACCCCCTTGATCGCCTCGGCGAGCAGCGATTGGAGCGACAGCGAGTCCAGCGAGTACACGGACTCCAGCTTCAGATCCACCGCATCCTCCAGCTACCTTAGCTCCACCACGCGCATCCGCATCCGCAACATCAGCCCGTTCCGGCTTCCGCACCAGCCCCTGCTGCAGCCGCTGTTCCTGCCTCTGCTCATTTTCATGCTCCTGATCATGTCCATGGTCATACTCATGGTCATGCTTATGCTCCGGTGGTCAAGCCAGCACCCCAGGTGGTGCCCATGGAGCATCATCACCGCAAGACGCGCGTGCCCTGTTCGGGTTCCGGCTTGCAGAACCTCGTCCCGGCCACCAGCAGCCACAACCAGGCCGTCTTCCAGTCGAAGCCCATCACCGTCACCAAGAGCACCGCCACTTCCACTGCCACTCCCAGTTCCACTTCCACCGCCATAACCATGCCCAGCGATGGCCAGTCGATGGGCAATCCCTCGGATGGCAAGATCAAGGTCGGCGGTGCCCGATCCTCCGGCACAAAGACACCCCTTGCCAATGCCATGGCTAGCAAGCCCTCCAACCAGCTCAAGACCCCGGTGGCCAGCTCCTCTTCGAAAGCTATGGCAAAGCCTGTTAATCCCAATTCGAGCCACTCCACCGTCGGCAAGCCACCGGCATCGAAGGAGCACAGCAAGAATCCGGAGTCCAGCAAGATTGGGACGCCCACTGGTCCGGTACCAAAAGGTCCCAGAGGAGGAACCAGAGGAGGAACCAGAGGAGGAACCAGAGGAGGAACCAGAGGAGGAGCCCGAGGAGGAGGCCCTGCACATCTGGGACTGGCTGGACTTCGCTTTCATCCGCTGTCTGCGGACGGGCTGGCGGAATCTGATGGTGGGCTTGCCGATGCGTTCTCCTCGGCCTCCTCCTTCTTCTCCTCTGGTTCCTCCTCTGAATCCTCTTCTGGTTGCTCCTCTGGTTCCTCCTCTGGTTCCTTCTCTGGCACATTTTGGTGCCGGACCAGTGGGCGTCCCAATCTTGCTGGACTACGGATTTTTTTCCATACAAATAATGATATTTATACAAATAAATTTATTTATTTGTATGGAAAATTAGATTATAAAGTTATAAGATTCCGTGCATCAAAACGTTGTTGAGAATTTAGTTTTTGGGGCCAAAGGTCCAAATATAATTTCTCAATTTCAAAAACAACAAAATTTTGAATGCATAAATTGTGGTATACCATTAAGACACTATTCTAATAAAACATCCTGGATGGTTATCAAACTTTTTACTTTTTGCTTATATCAACTCAGTACGCGATCCTGATCAAGAATACATATACTTTATAGGGTCGGAGATGTCTCCTTCACTGCGTTGCACTCTTTTGACCAAAATTATATTACCATCTGCAAGGGAATAAAAATAGGAACCAGTTAATTAAGTTGCCTTGATACTTTTTTTAATAATTAAGTCAACACTAGGTTTATTCTTTAGTTTAAAGCAAAGCTCAATACGAGATTTCAAAGGTTTATTTAAAGAAACTGTTGTTAAAAAGTTATAAACGATTGGGTTCCTTTCTCCTACTAGAATTATTTACTATACATTTTACAATATCTTCTGAGATTTTTTTTACATCTGTCGATTTCACGAGCCTTGAAATTTTTAATTTCACGGAACGATGGCTTTTATAAATATTTTGAAAAATAAAGTTTAGTACGCCATGATCTCTAGATGGGTATTGTTGGTTTTTGACAGTCTTCTGATTGCCAGTTTGGCCATTCATTTAACAACAGCTCAGGAGGCCGCATCAGTTGCTCCGGAAACCACACCAAGTGCAGCGTTAGAGGAACCAGGAAATGTTTCTCCAGGAGCACCGGAAAAAAAAGAAGAACACTCCAGAAATGACACGGCATTTAATGCAGACTACTGCGATGCCTCATTGTGTTCCGAAGGCAAAAAACATGTAGCTTGCAACGGCATAACCGTAAGTTACTAAACTAATATGTGTGCCACGTATGCAACCTGCTTTTGTTTTTTAATTTTTGTTAAATTTTATCTTTATACTTAGTCGAACAAAGGGCAATTCTAATGTTGGTTAGTATACAAAAAAAAATAACGATTTATCAGCTTTTTAAGAGCTACTGTATGTCCGTGAACTAATTAAACGCCTGTTCGTACATTAAATAAATTAGTTATGGCACTTAGTGTTGGAATTGATTACATAGAAATGTAAAAGTAATTTATATACTTCTTAAGATACATTTTGTAAATTTAATGAAGTATTTTTTTTTAATCAGCAACAACTGAAGTCTGCTAAACTGAATAAGTTCAAACACGAAGGCCTTGTTCTTTATGGTAGAGTTAGCTTACGTAAACTTTTCGGTTGTAATAAGTTCACTGTCTTAAGTGGGGACATCATTTTCTTGACATTGTTTAACATAACCTCATAGGGCCCGTATATGATCGTATTTTAAGATCCAACAGTTTGAATTTAATTAGTAGTCATCACAAATCAAGATCTTTTTGACACAATATTATATGACCATTCCCTTACAATACTTACAGTTATGGTATATTACAAACATTTTTTTTAGCGACTTCACAAGAAGTGCTCCTTGGACGCTGAGGTTTTAGACATAAATGATAAGCTGCAAAGATACTTAGTGGGACACTTTAATGAGTTGCGGGACAGCGTGGCCAAGGGCGGATTCAACGGGTTGAGTCCGGCTGCCCGCATGGGCACCTTGAAGTGGGATTCGGAACTTTCCTACCTGGCCGAGTTCAATGTACAGGACTGTTTCCTGAAAAACGACGAATGCCGGAACACAAAGACATCAACTCGCGTTGGCCAAACTGTTGGTTATCGAGCTATGAGAGGAAAAATCCCAGAGCTGGAGGACATTCTTAAGGCCATAATTGGGCTGTGGATGCGGGAGAACAGCGGTACCTCGATGCTGGACATAATGAAGTATAAAGATCCTCAAAAAGGGTGAGTCACGACCAAGCATAATAGAACTTTCCCAACTTATTGCTTTTGTTTCCATGGGAGTTTTATTACATTTTTTAACCGTAATTGTTGATTAAATAATTTCCGTATCTTACCAAAAAACTTACAAATGTTTGTTTTAGCAAGTTGCTCTTATTTCACATTGTGATACCCAATCTTAAAAGTGAAAGGGTAAGAACAGCTGTTCCTTAGTCTACCTTTTAAAGGTTTTCGAATGATTAGGAAGTTTTCTTTTTACGTAAAATTAAAAAATATGGTCCTACCTTGGGCACTTGAAAAAAAAGTAAAAAAATAGATTAATATTACTTGTACCTTTCTTTAATATATTAATTATTGAAAGTATTTTATCGACAAGATAATAAATATATAATTCTTTCTATCTTTTTTATTATAATTTAGCAAGATAGCCTTTTTAAAGCGTAATTAAGTAAATAACTTTTAGAAAATATATGCCTTCTCAAACCCAAATATCTAACTTTTATGGTTCCTGAGATCTCCACGTTTATATGAACGGACTAACAAGCGGTCAGAAGAACGCGGCATATTTTTCATTTGTTATGTTTTTTACAATTCTAAACGCTTTAAATAATTTTGATCAAAATGGACATAAAAATGAAAAAGTAATCATAAAATAGAGTTGAAAGGCCTATACTGATAAATGGAAATTGTAACATCTGCAAGGGTTTATAAGTATCATTGGCTTGCCGAAGTTAGCTTTATTTCTAATTAAAAAAAAAATTATTTCATTATTTAAATATTTTCAAAGTCATTACAAGGTTTTTTTTAAGGACCATGAAATCCACTTTCATTGTAAATTAATATATTGTTTATATTTCCCTTAGGCCGCCCAAATACAACTTCATCCAGATAATATTGGAAAATGCCGGTCTAGTGGGCTGTGCTATCCTTCAGCAGACCCGAAACGACTGGCTACAAACGTTCTTCACGTGCAACTTTGGCCATGCCCCCGTTTTGGGTGCGGAAGTATACGAGTCCAGCCAACTAGCTGCACAGTCTTGCAAGACCGGAGTCAACCAGAAATACGTACATCTGTGCTCCGATAGCGAGATATACGAAAAGAAAGAGCCAAGTGTTGGGAACTCGGTAAATGCGTCAAAGAACGCGAGAACTGTGAGAAAAGAAGACTTTGTTGCGCTTAAGAGCGCAACGGATGGTGCCGCACCAGTTGGAATTCAACCTAGAGATGGAGGTGCTGCTCCAGCTGCCGAAGGAGCAGCAGTTCCTGCACCTGAAGGAGGAGCGGCTCCAGCAGCGCAAGGAGCAGCAGCTCCAGCAGCTGTAGGAGCAGCAACTCCAGCAGCTGAAGGAGCAGCAGCACCAGCAGCCGAAGGAGCAGCAGCTCCGGTAGTCGAAGGAGCAGCAGCTCCAGCCGCTGAAGGAGCAGCAAATCCTGCAGCTGAGGGAGCAACTCCAGTCGCAGGTGACACACCCATCCCCGCTGCTCCACCCGAAGGTGAAGCAGTGCCGGCAGGAGCAGAAGCACCCAATTCTGCTTCCCCGGGAGGTCCTGGTCCTCCCACAGCTGCACCCGGGGAGGAAACCACATTTGAGGGTCTACTGGAACCCACGCCAACACCACCCGATAAGGCCGCGCTGCAGAAAAAATTCGCCCGCTTCCTAGACCTGATGAACCGGGCTGAAATGCACCACGGTCGTCGCAAAATCGTGGTCATAACCAGCAATCATATGGTGGACGATGATCGCGTGAAGCAGAAGGAAGCGGAGGAATCCGCTTCAAATTTAAACACATTGAAGGAAGCCGTCTTTAGGACTATACGAAGCCGTCGTCAAAGAATGACACGCAGTGGATTAATGGCCCGGTCCATGAGCCACGGTTTCAGATTTAAAGCGAGAAGTCACCACAGGCGAGGCCATCAACGGAGTTCCGATTTCGCTCCCCAATGGATTGTTATAAGTTGATATTTTAATCTGTAATTCTGGATACTCCGGAAATTCAAATCAATATTTAAACAACAAAAATCTTGAATTATAAACAAATTTAGAAAAATGTTTGTACTTTTGAATGGAGAGTGGTGCTTATTAAGGAAGAGTCGGGCAAGGATGTAGGTTAAGAAACAGCAAAGTTTTAATTTTAGTAGTCTTTTTTGCCCTTGCAGAGGGTATTATAATTTTGGTCAAAAGTGTGCAACGCAGTGAAGGAGACATCTCCGACCTTATAGAATATATATATTCTTGATCAGGATCGCGTCCTGAGTTTATACAATCATGTCCGTCTGTCTGTCTGTCCGTCTTACTGTTTCTACGCGAATTAGTCTCTCAGTTTTAAAGATATCAAATTAAAACTTTGCACACACCCTTCGTTCCTTTGCACGCTGTATATAAGTCGGAAAGGCCGGGATCGGCCGATTATTTCCTATTTTTTCTTTATGTCTAATGCTTGAGTAGTAGCTATGTGGTAATCTGCAATTATAGCTTCAGCTCCTCGAGTTATAAGATTCAGATGGTTCAAAAGTACAAAAACAGTCAGAACTTGTAATAGGCCAATAACGCTTATTTAATTTTACAGCAATATTTTTTTTGTAGGAATAAGTCTATTGGTTATACAAGCTCTCGGCCCTGAGTTGAATCAATAACTCACCGTTCCGCTGGGATTTTTAAAATGTGCATGTTCTTAATATGTGCAAGCACTAGTTTAAAAAGGTTTGTCATATCATTTCATAATTTTATTTACTATTAAATACTAAGATGCACAACTAATGCCTAAAACTTATTGTTAATGCCCAATCACATCACTTCAAAGTAAATGATAATGGTCAAGGATCAGGCTATTCGCCAAGGATCAATATATTAATATATAACAAAATTTCATTTAATTGCATTAAAAAAATTTAACTAAATATCTCCAAGAAAAATGGTATCTTTAATGAAATTCGTTATATATATATGCGTTAAATATTATTATATTAATTATTAGATAATTAAACAGTTTTAAGTCTTACTACTATATTTTAGTGTAATGACATAAGAATAATAATAAAATTTAGTTATTTATGGTATGTTTATATACTAATGAAAAATTACTGATCAATTGGCATTCACTTGGTGCCTCTAGGTGTGAACCTGAAATTGGTATTCAAAAATCATAATCAAACCTTAACTAGACTATATCTAAAGCTTTTCACGTTGCATCGCCTTCCAGATAACATTCATTCGCAAGTGCCCTTCTCGCAGATTATTCAGCATGACTTCGATGGTACCCTCAACTGGTGAAATTGGACGGATGATTCCGGCTCTTTTACAAACGGAAACGTGCCGATCGTGGAGCCCTTTAGTATTGAACACTCTGTTGCAGTGCTCACAAGCTAAACTTTCCGCGTCCTCATCTTCTTCGTCATCCGGCTTGCCAGCTTTTCCGGACCTTTTGGGACTGGTCCACTTTGGCTCCGGCTTGATAAGAAGTTGCGTCTTGTTTTTTCGCTGCAGCTCCTCCTGGTGGTTGTAGCGAATGTGGTTGAGGATCTTCGAGGTGCTGGTCTTGGTTCGCTCGCAGAGTGTGCACTTGAGATAGGATCGGTAAGGCAGATGCTTAAAGCAGTGCTTCTGGAGCTGTGACCGCTGAGTCGTCGGCTGCACCTCGCGGCACTGCAAACACATGGCTTTGCGCCCCGGATCTAGAATCTTGAAGCTATTCTCGATTATGTGCTCGAAGTCGTGCTTCTTAAACACGTGCGCTCGCCATCCGTCCATCGTGGAGATCTCCTTGCCGCACTTGGGGCACAAGTACGAGATAAGCTTCATAAGTCCATTGGTGGACACCTCCGTGTCGGAGTCTCGGGTGGGCGTCGCGGACATGCGACGACGCTTGGCCGCTTGACCCGATGATTCCGATTTCATTTCCTTCTTCAACTGGGCCACCTCCTCTTTGCCGAGTGCATCTATCTCAATAATTATTACTTCCTGATTTTCCTGCTGCGGTTGCCCATCTAATAACTGCTGCCCCACATCTGCTCCTCCTTTGCTGGTGGTGCTATTCTCTTCAAAGAACTCTTGGCAAAGGGCATCCAATTCGGCGTCATACTTGGGCACCTTCTCCTCCTCTTTTCGCACAATGTCCTCGTAGGCATTCAAACACCGGTCCAGATTCTGTTCACTGACATTTGCATTGCTTTTCGGTGCGGATGCAGGAGCTACTGCTACAGATGGTTGAGTTGGGGACTTCTCCAACTCCGTGTTAAGATCGATGTCCATTAGCGCCTTTTGCAGCAGATCCTTCTGCTTTTTATTCCCAGATCCTTTGGGACGCCCTCGTGTCCTTCCTGCCGCCGTTTTATCTGGACTCCCTAGACCAGCTGTTCCCACAGTGGTGGGTTTTTGCTGCTGCCGCTTCATCTGTCGCAGTTTGTTCTCGTACTTCTCGATCTCCCTCATGTGTGTGTCCAACAGGTGGACATTCAGAGCCCGGCGCCTCGTGTAAGCCATGCGGCAGTGCACGCATCGATATGTTTCACTGTGTTCCAGGTGCATAAAGTAGTGGTACTGCAGCAAGGCGATCGTTTTGTGGGCATTCTCCACCCACTTGAAGCACAGCTGGCATTCGTGGAAGCGCTCATCGATCTGGATAAAGTTGAAATCGGAGTAGGTCTTCTTCAGATAGTCGTGTTTCTGTGGTCATACCAAAAATATTAAAATATGCCTAGTTTAAGAGGATATCAGCAACTTGCCGTGTTCAGATGTTGACGCCACTCTGCCTGCGTGCGAAATGCCTTTCCGCACTCCGGACATATATACACCATGTGCGCCTCCAAACGCGCATTCAGCCGACTCTGTTCATCCGAGAGCGTTACATTCCGCGACATTTTTCTATAAATTAAGTTGTCGAATATTATAATTAAACCGAACAAACATAACGCGGTGCGCTTCGCGAGATCTAACACTAGAGATGAGCGATAACCGGCCAGGAGTCGCTGCTGAAACTGTTACCGTGCGAACGATGACGGCGGTCACAGTATTAAATTACGTTTATATTTCAATTTAGATTTTTTAGCTTAATTAGCCATTACAAGAGTTAATTATTTTAATAAACAATTATAAAATTTCGGCATTTAAGCAACTTCTCTAAGATGTTTAATTATGGTGTTATCGAAATAAGGACCAAACTATCGAATGCTTAGAACATTTTTGGCTATGGCCAAAACCGATAAAAAAAAACTTAAAACAATAAAAGACTAAAACAAATAAGTAAAAGTAACTGTCTATTATAACTAGACTGTTATAAAATCTGTGAATGTATTTTTAGAATGTAGCCATCAGTTCATTTTTCATTCTCTTTATAGTCTCGTTCAGACTGACTAGCATCAGAATTTATAAATCTCAAATTTGTTATGCTAGGGACATAAATTGAACAAATAAAAATATGACAATTTTTACCGCTCTCGATTAATTCTAGGACCATTCACTGTGGCTATGATATCGGGCCATGGCACATCACTAGCATGTCCCACTCTTTTGCCTGTGATTTGATTTGGAATTGTTTGGGAAATATATAAAAACAGCAATTATTAGCAATAGATGATTAGTGGAAAGCTCTAAAGTGGAACAAATAAACATGTCGAGTGCGTCAAAGTCGACGGTAAGGCGAAACCCAACAATTTCCCAGCCTAATCTTAGTACAAGAGCTTAACTTGATATTTTTGCAGCCGAGCGCTGCTAGCTCCACGTCCGCAGCTGCCGCCGCCGCTGCCTCTGTTACCTCGGGATCCGCCTCCTCATCTGCTAACGTACAGGAGTTTAAGATCCGGGTGCCCAAGATGTCCAAAAAGCACCATGTGATGCGGTTCAACGCCACGCTGAACGTGGATTTCGCACAGTGGCGCAATGTGAAACTGGAGCGGGAGAACAATATGAAGGAGTTCCGGGGCATGGAGGAGGATCAGCCCAAGTTCGGTGCCGGGTCGGAGTACAATCGGGATCAGCGCGAGGAGGCGCGCCGCAAGAAGTTTGGCATAATAGCGAGAAAGTACAGGCCGGAGGCGCAGCCTTGGATTCTGAAAGTGGGCGGCAAAACTGGAAAGAAATTTAAAGGCATCCGCGAGGGTGGCGTGGGCGAGAACGCAGCCTTCTATGTATTTACCCATGCTCCAGACGGCGCCATCGAAGCGTATCCTCTGACCGAGTGGTACAACTTCCAGCCCATTCAGCGCTACAAATCCCTGTCGGCGGAGGAGGCCGAACAGGAATTTGGTCGCCGCAAAAAGGTGATGAACTACTTCTCCCTTATGTTGCGAAAGCGTCTGCGAGGGGACGAGGAGGAGGAACAGGATCCGGAAGAGGCTAAGTTGATAAAGGCAGCCACCAAAAAATCCAAGGAGCTCAAGATTACTGATATGGACGAATGGATCGATTCCGAAGACGAGTCCGACTCTGAAGACGAAGAGGATAAGAAAAAAAAGGAACAGGAGGATAGCGACGACGGCAAGGCCAAGGGCAAGGGCAAGAAGGGCGCAGATAAGAAAAAGAAAAAGAGGGATGTAGATGACGAGGCCTTCGAGGAGTCGGACGATGGAGACGAGGAGGGCAGGGAAATGGACTATGACACCAGCTCCAGTGAAGAGTATGTATCCCTAATAAAAGAACACATTGGTAGTACAATGTTGAACACTCTGACCACTCTTTATGCCTCTTTTTAGCGAACCAGATCCGGAGGCAAAGGTAGACAAGGACATGAAAGGGGTGGCCGAAGAGGATGCGTTGCGGAAGCTGCTTACCTCCGACGAAGAGGAGGAGGACGAAAAGAAGTCTGATGAGTCAGACAAGGAGGACGCCGACGGCGAGAAGAAAAAGAAGGATAAGGGCAAAGACGAGGGGTCCAAGGACAAAAAGAAGAAGAAACCATCCAAGGACGATAAAAAAGGGAAGTCGACTGGCAGCGGCGACTCGTCCACAGACTTTAGCTCAGACAGCACGGACTCCGAGGACGACCTTAGCAATGGTCCCCCGAAAAAGAAGGCCACGTCCAAGGACAAAGACAAGGAGAAAGAGAAGGACAAAGAGAGCGCTGCCAGCAGCAAAACCTCAACCAGCAGCAGCAGCAATGCCAACAAATCGCGTTCGGCTACGCCGACGCTCTCGACGGAAGCCAGCAAACGCAAGATAAACAGCCTGCCCAGCGATCTCACTGGATCGGACACCAGCAACAGTCCCACCAGCACCCCTGCCAAGCGACCCAAGAACGAGATCAACACCTCGTTGCCCACTTCCTTCTCTGGCGGCAAAGTCGAGTAAGTAAAACTCTGGGTCCTATAATGGAATTGCAATTATTTCTGTATTCATATTCATTAGGGATTACGGTATCACCGAGGAGGCAGTGCGTCGCTACCTCAAGCGCAAACCCCTCACCGCCACCGAGTTGCTCACCAAGTTCAAGAACAAGAAAACGCCCGTTTCGAGCGACCGTTTGGTAGAGACGATGACGAAAATCCTGAAAAAGATAAATCCCGTCAAGCACACCATTCAGGGGAAAATGTATCTCTGGATAAAGTAGCCAGCAGTCATGTGATTTTAAGATTTCATAATCCAAATGCATTATTGTTCCAATTAATATATAAACGCAATTATTTGAAATATAATTTTTTAATTCGGTTTAAAAAAAGAAGATTTTATGAATAGAAGTCACTATAAATAAAAGTAATTAAAACGAGGACGGAAGCTAACTTCGGCAAGCCGAAGTTTTAATACCCTTGCAGACTTTGACGAAATTGCTAAAAGTGAAAAAGTAGCGAAAGGAATAAGGTATACATAAGTAAACTAGATTTGCATCGTTTCAAGTCAATTGCTTTTATACTGCAAAAATGTCATATACAAAAGGGATACTTGCGCAGCCTTTAACAATTTTTCCTATCTCCTTTAAGATATAGACTTCCGAGCGGCAAGCGCTTTTACCCTAATCAAGATATGCGTAAATAAATAAGAATTGGAAAATTTTATGTTAGTAGCTTACACACTGCGCGAAATATTCTGATAATCATCAAATTTGGACCGATTTCACCCTATTGTTCCTATGGGAGCTATAGGATATAAACGTCCGATCGGCACGCGCTTCCACCTTGATCAATGTATGCATAAAAAAATAGGATTTGGAAAGATTCATGTCAATAGCTTGTATACTGCGTGAAATATCCTAAAAATCATTAAATTTTAACCGATTTTACCCTTTTGTTCATATGGGAGCTATAGGATATAGACGTCCGATCGTCACGCGCTTTTACTCTGATCAAGGTACGCATAAAAAAATAAGATTTGGAAAGATTTATGTCAATAGCTTTTACACTGCGCGAAATATCTTCCATTCTTGCAAGTTATATCCGATTGTTCCTATGGGAGCTATAGGATATAGACATCCGATCGGGGCGGTTTTCAAACTTGATCTGCGTACACTTGTTTTAGGACGACTGTGAAAGTTTCAGATCGCTAGCTTTTAAACTGAGCTCGCAAACGGTATTGAAACAGACGGACAGACGGACAGACGGACATGGCTATATCGACTCCCCTATTGATCCTGATCAAGAATATATATACTTTATAGGGTCGGAAACGTCTCCTTCACTGCGTTACAAACTTCTGACCAAAATTATAATACCCTCTGCAAGGGTATAAAAAGATTAGCTATACGTAATTAATTTAATTTTTAAATAGCGGATGTAGTATGTACTTGTCTGATTGGCAGCAACTTTTACCCTGAGCAAGGTGTACATAAATAAATTAGATAAATTGCATAGTTTCATGCCAATAGCTTTTATACTGCAAAATTGTCATATACAAATAGGGAAAAAAGGGATATTTTCGCAGCCTTAAACAATTTTTCCTACGGAAGCTATACGATATAGACGTCCAATCGGCAAGCGCTTTTACGCTGATCAAGGTATGCGTAAATAAATAAGACTTGGAAAAATGTGTGTCAATAGCTTATACACTGCGCGAAATATTCTAAAAAACATGAAATTTTGACCGATTTCACCGTATTGTTCCTATGGGAGCTATAGGATATAGACGTCCGATCAGCACGCGCTTTTACCTTGATGAATGAATGCATAAAAAAATACGATTTGAAAAAATGTACAGCAATAGCTTTTACACATCGCGAAATATTCTGAAAAACATCAAATTTGGACCGATTTTACCCTATTGTTCCTATGGGAGCTATAGTATATAGACGTCCGATCGTCACGCGCTTTTACCCTGATCAAGGTACGCATAAAAAAATAAGATTTGGAAAGATTTATGTCAATAGCTTTTACACTGCGCGAAATATCCTAAAAATCATTAAATTTTAACCGATTTTACCCTATTGTTCCTATGGGAGCTATAGGATATAGACGTCCGATCGCCACGCGCTTTTACCCTGATCAAGGTATGCATAAAAAAATACGATTTGTAAAGATTAATGTCAATAGCTTTTACACTGCGCGAAATATCATAAATTCTTGCAAGATATATCCAATTGTTCCTATGGGAGCTATAGGATATAGACGTCCGATCGGGGCGATTTTCAAACTTGATCTGCGTACACATGTTTTAGGACGATTGTGAAAGTTTCAGATCGCTAGCTTTTAAACTGAGCTCGCAAACGGTATTGAAACAGACGGACAGACGGACAGACGGACAGACGGACATGGCTATATCGACTCCCCTATTGATCCTGATCAAGAATATATATACTTTATGGGGTCGGAAACGTCTCCTTCACTGCGTTACAAACTTCTGACCAAAATTATAATACCCTCTGCAAGGGTATAAACATAGTTTACTACAGGGCAAGTCAGATATAAGGTCCATCGATTCAAATTAAAGATGACTGAAGATATTTTATTTGTTTAAGGACTCAAAATAAAAGTTATGGGCAAAATTTTTAAACTAACATCTGCGGTTTCTCGAAATATTTTCAGAATTCGACATATTTTAAATAAAGTTAATTAAAAAGTGAAACGCAGCCTTTATTTCAATCAAACAATATTCTCTTTAAATGTTGTGACGAAAAATTATTACATTTATGTTTGAATGATAACTCCGTCGTTTCTAAATATAAATTTTTGTTACATGTAGGAACAGTTAAATAATAGAAAAATTGACTACTCTTTGTTCTTTTTAACATATTCGTGCATTTCCAAAAATTAGTTACTTTCTATGATTTTAAAAATACTTTTTTACTTCATAAACATTAATTAACTTTATCTCATAGCTGCCATACAATTGAACTTCCCTGTTTTGAACATATAAACATAATTAGGCGTTTTATAGAAAACAAATTTTTGTTTAAGCTGCTAGAGTAAATATATTAAGTTTTCGGACTCCCAAAGAAAGCTTTCTTTCTTGTTTTTTTACGTGTATTTTTTTACAGATATTCAGTATTTTTAAATGTGCCATAAAACAGATTATCAGCTATATACCCTGGTCCAATTTAGTTAAACTTTTTTTTTAACCTCCCCGTGGGATAAGCGGTTTAGAATGATAAGCATATGCATATGCGGTTTCCAGACCCGTAATTTCGCGGAAGAGTTTCCGCCGATACAGTTAGTTTCTTACTTCGCAAGTTTTGTATAAAAAGGTAGTTTATCCAACTAATGGTCTCAGTTGTAAAGTGACAGGGCTGACATTCAGCCAGTGAGCTTTCTTAAAGGACCTGTATAGCTTAATTCCATCCAAATGGTCAACAAGAAGGATCTTCTCCTGCTGTTCGATCACCCTACCGAGCCGGTGTTCATGGACAAAGGCGGCAATGGAACCGTTTTCGAAATGCCAGACTCCTTCCTGACCGAACGCTACAGCCGGGTCAGCAAAAATGTCCAAACGCGGGTCAGCGGTGAGGGTAAGCCAAAGATCTTTGTGAAGGACATCACAATTCCGGATCTCAGCTTTCCCGAGTCCCTGAAACGGAACCAATCGTTCTCGCTGTTCGTGAAATCGCACCGCCAAATGGCCGGCTACCTGATCGAAGTCTTTACCAAATTGCCATCCGTGGATGACCTGCTAAGTGTGGCCGTGTACGCCAGGGATCGCGTTCACCCGGTACTCTTCCACTACGCCCTTTCGGTGGCCCTGCTCCATCGACCGGACACTCAGGGACTGGATTTGCCCTCCTTCTGGCAGGCATTTCCCGGTCGCTTCGTCGACTCGGCGGTGATGCAAGAACTACGCGAGGAATCGTTCGTGGTGCAGAGTCCCGGTGATCGTAGACCCATGGTCATCCCCACCAAGTACACCTCTTCCGATTTGGACCCTGAGCAACGCATGTGGTACTTCCGCGAGGATATTGGCGTCAACCTGCACCACTGGCACTGGCACCTTGTCTACCCCACCGAGACTTCCCCCGGCGCCGACCGTAGGATCGTTGAAAAGGATCGTCGCGGCGAACTGTTCTACTATATGCACCAGCAGTTGATTGTCCGTTACAATGCGGAACGATTGAGTAACTACATGGCCTCGGTGCAGCCGTTGAATAATCTGGATGAGACCATTGCCGAGGGCTACTTCCCAAAAATGGACTCGCTGGTGGCCAGTCGTGCGTATCCTCCTCGCTCCGACAACACCAGGCTTAGCGATGTCAACCGACCTACGGAACGGTTAAGAGTGGGAATTGACGAAATGAAGCGCTGGCGCGAGCGAATCTATCAGGCAATCCATCAAAGATTTGTTATTGACGTAATTCATTCGTTTCTGGTGTTCAGTCAGGAGAGTAAATACCCTTTTTTCCGAATTTCAGACAAATAATAAAAGGATTCCCTTAGATGAAGTAAATGGCATCGACATCCTGGGAAACATGATTGAAGCCAACGCTCTGTCCCCCAACCAAATGCTGGTAAGATAAACATATTCAATCATTATATACAACATATATTCAAACTACTTGGGTATATAATTTTAAATTTATCTTAATTTTAATTTAACCTATCTAAATCTCCAGTACGGTAACTTTCATAACATGGGACACGTCCTGATCGCGTTCTCCCACGATCCGACCAACAAGCATCTGGAGCCTGCGGGCGTGATGGGCTATGTATCCACCTCCATGCGGGATCCAGTCTTCTACAAGTGGCACGCCTTAATAGATGACATTTTCCAGGAGCACAAGAAAATTCTGCCCGCGTATAAGGCGGAAGACCTGAGTTTTCGGGACATAGATGTCAGCAGCATTCAAGTGGAGAGCAGAGGTCAAAAAAACAGACTGACCACATATTTTAAGGAGTCCGATTTGGATTTGTCCCGCGGCATGGACTTCCAGCCCCGCGGCAATGTCTACGCTCGATTCACCCACCTGCAGCACCACCCATTCCAGTACAACATCGTTGTGAACAACTTCAGTGGTGTCCAACGATATGGCTATGTGCGCATCTTCATGGCGCCCAAGTTTGATGATACTGGTTTACCCATGGTATTCGCGAACCAGCGTCTAATGATGATGGAGCTGGACAAGTTTGTGGTTATGCTGCCACCCGGACAGAATACCTTTACTCGCAACTCAACCGATTCGAGTGTGACTATTCCGTTTGAGCGCACTTTCCGTAATCTGGATAGTAACCGCGGAGCAAGGAATTCTCCTGAGGAGCAGGAGAACTACTTCTGCGGCTGCGGCTGGCCCAACCATATGCTGGTGCCCATGGGCAGAGCTGAGGGCATGAGCTTCGATCTGTTCGTCATGGTTTCCAACTATGAAAATGATAGGGTAAGTCCTTCTACGCAGTGCTTTGTACTTCTTCCGAATTTTACTCTCTTACCTCCTTCAGGTTGATCAGCCACGTATGGATGGCTGCAGCGATGCCGCTTCTTACTGCGGAATCCGCGATCGTCTCTATCCGGATCGCAAGGCCATGGGCTATCCCTTCGATCGCGTGCCCCGTGCGACTGCCACCACCCTGAATCAATTCCTCACGAGTAACATGCAAACTGTGGAGATTACTATCACACATGACAGCACCATCGATCGACTCCCGGCATTGACGAATTAAAACTGATTCTCTTTATATTCCCTGATAACCATTATTTCATATTCCATTATATTGCAATAAAAAATATAACTATTTTACCCAATTGTGTTTTTCATTTAATCTCACTAAAGGGAGCCAAGATTCATCTGGCATATATAGTCATTTTATACGGTAGAACCACACATTTCAATCCCCAGTCGACAGTGTCGTATGTATAATTTTCGGATTTAATTTTTTCAAACTGGATTAAAAATAATTGTTCATTTGTCTATAACATAATTTAATATATTTATTTTTACTAACAATTGTCATTCGGTATGCATAAAAATATAATAAATGTTTAAAACAAGAAAGGAAAGCTAACTTTGGGCGGAGCCGAAGTTGATATACCCTTGCAGAATACTCTGTTAATTATATTCAAAAAAATTATTCATATGATGCATTCTTAATACTAAAAAAAAGGGTGTGTGCAAAGTTTCAATTCGATATCTTTAAAACTGAGAGACTAGTTTGCGTAGAAACAGACACACAGACGGACTGACGGACATGGCTATATCAACTCAGGAGGTGATCCTGATCAAGAATATATATACTTTATAGGGTCGGAGATGTCTCCTTCACTGCGTTGCACACTTTTGACCAAAATTATAATACCCTCTGCAAGGGTATAAAAAGAAGAAAGCAATACCCATGCAGCTGTTACTAAAATGTTTGTATACCCTTTCAGAGAATATTATAATTTCAGTCAAAAGTTTGCAACGCAGTGAAGGAAACATTTCCGACCCTGTAATATATATATATATATATATTCTTGAACAACATCACCAGGAGAGTAGATCTAGCCAAAGACCAATATAATTATATTGGTCTTTGATCTAGCCATGTCCGTCTGTCCGTCCGTCTGTCTGTTTCTACGCAAACTAGTCCCTCAGTTTTAAAGCTATCTGCTTGAAACTTTCTCAAAAGTTGCCTTTCTATTGCAGGTAGTATATAAGTCGGAACGAGCCATATATATATCATAAAGCTGCCATATAACTGAACGATCGGAAATCCCATAACTTTGGTGTTTTTAAAGTTAGGAAGTTGGGATTTTTATGGTCTTTATATTTAGCCAATCAATCTGACTTACCAAATTTCATAAAGATCGGCCGACTATATCCTATAGCTGCCATATAACTGAACAATTGGAAATGCCATAACTTTGGTGTTTTGAAAGGTAGGAAGTTGGAATTTTTTATGAGTATTAGGAATGCATCATATGAATAATTTTGGAGGGACTTTTAATTGCATTGATTGAGCAGAGTTTCTGTATGCTGTAGCAGAGAGCTGTATGTGCCATATCTCTAAATGTTTGCGTAGAAACAGACAGACAGACGGACAGATGGACATGCTTATATCAACTCAGGAGGCGATCCTGATCACGAATACATATACTTTACAGGGTCGGAGATGTCTCCTTCACTGCGTTGCACACTTTTGACCAAAATTATAATCCCTCAGCAAGGGTTTAAAAAGCTATAACTATTTATTAAGGTTCCTTCATCGTACCAAACTTTCTGAGTTCCTGCTTTAAAAACATTTTAAAAAATAAATTTATTAAATATATTTCCGCTACTTATTTAAATATTAAATATCAAGGAAATCAGCTATTCGACAAATAATATTTTCTATTGGATTGTTACCAGATGATACCTTTTTACTTCTATTAGAACGCTTTTAATCGATTGAAGGGTAGTGTTCAACGATTCAGCAATTCATTAGCACAGAGATGTAGTTTCTATCCCAACTATTAGGTGGCAATCCAGATCCTCCAATCTAGTAGATTTGCCTGGCCACTTAGTTTTTTTCTGGATGACAGCTGTCATTTCCCTTTTCCCCATTTTCATTTGGCTGCAGTCACCCGACGTGTGAGCAACTCAGCAGCAGCAGCTCTTGAAAACAAAAAAATTATGTTGAAGAGATGCCCAAGGACAAGAAAACCAAGGCGAATGACGGGGTAAAGCCGCCCACCAAGCGGCAGAGGAAGGATCGCCGGGAGCGCAAGAAGCGCAAGGATCACAAGGAGATAATCCCCGCCAGAGGAGAAGGTGAAGGAGGAGCAGCTGGTCCAAGGGTGAGGAACAGGTCGCCCACCCCCTTGATCGCCTCGGAGAGCAGCGATTGGAGCGACAGCGAGTCCAGCGAGTACACGGACTCCAGCTTCAGATCCACCGCATCCTCCAGCTTCTCCAGCTACTTCAGCTCCACCAGCAGCAGCTCCTTGTCCAGCAACAGCGATGAGGAGCCGGAGGGCTCCACCAGGAAGCCGGATTGTCCGAAGCACTCCTGCTGCCGCCATCGGCACTATCACCGCCATCGGCGCCACCTCTACACATCTCGCCACTCGCACCGGCGTCGTGGGAGTGGCAGCCTTCTTCTCCTCCTCTGGTTCCTCCCCTGGTTCCTCCTCTGATTCCTCCTCTGGCACCTTTTGGTGCGGGATCAGTGGACTCCGGATTTTTTCCATACAAATAAATATCTTTAGATTCCTCCTCTGGTTCCTCCGCTTGTTTCTCTTCTGGTCCCTCCTCTGGTTCCTCCTCTGGTTCCTTCTCTGGTTCCTTCTCTGGTCCCTCCTCTGGTCCCTCCTCTGGTCCCTCCTCTGGTTCCTCCTCTGGTTCCTCCTCTGGTTCCTCCTCTGGTTCCTCCTCTGGTTCCTCCTCTGGTTCCTCCTCTGGTTCCTCCTCTGGGTCCTCCTCTGGCACCTTTTGGTGCCGGACCAGTGGGCGTCCCAATCTTGCTGGACTCCGGATTCTTGCTGTGCTCATTCGATGCCGGTGGCTTGCCAGAGCTTTCGAAGAGGAAGTGGCCACCGGGGTCTTGAGCTGGTTGGAGGACTTGCTAGCCAAGGCATTGGCAAGGGGTATCTTTGTGCCGGAGGATCGGGCACCGCCGGCCTTGATCTTGCCATCCGAGGGATTGCCCATCGACTGGCCATCGCTGGGCATGGTTATGGCGGTGGAAGTCGAACTGGGAGTGGCAGTGGCGGTGCTCTTGGTGACAGAGATGGTCTTCGAATGGAAGACGGCCCGGTTGTGGCCGCTGGTGGCCGGGACGAGGATCTGCAAGCCGGAATCGGAGCAGCGCACGCGTGTCTTGCGGTGATGATGCTCCATGGGCATCGTCTGGAAAGCTGGCTTGGCCACCGGAGCATGAGCATGACCATGAGTATGACCATGAGTATGACCATGAGTATGACCATGAGTATGACCATGAGTATGACCATGAGTATGACCATGAGAATGACCATGAGTATGACCATGGGTATGACCATGAGTATGACCATGAGTATGACCATGGACATGAGCAGGAGCATGCGCAGGACCTTGAGCAGGAACCTTCCTGGAGGAGCGCTTCGAGGAGCGCCGTGGGCGAAGCGATGGCGGCGGCTGCCACTCCCACGACGCCGGTGCGAGTGCCGCGATGTGTAGAGGTGGCGCCGATGGCGGTGATAGTGCCGATGGCGGCAGCAGGAGTGCTTCGGACGATCCGGCTTCCTGGTGGAGCCCTCCGGCTCCTCATCGCTGTTGCTGGACAAGAAGCTGCTGCTGGTGGAGCTGAAGTAGCTGGAGAAGCTGGAGGATGCGGTGGATCTGAAGCTGGAGTCCGTGTACTCGCTGGACTCGCTGTCGCTCCAATCGCTGCTCTCCGAGGCGATCAAGGGGGTGGGCGACCTGTTCCTCACCCTTGGACCAGCTGCTCCTCCTTCACCTTCTCCTCTGGCGGGGATTATCTCCTTGTGATCCTTGCGCTTCTTGCGCTCCCGGCGATCCTTCCTCTGCCGCTTGGTGGGCGGCTTTACCCCGTCATTCGCCTTGGTTTTCTTGTCCTTGGGCATCTCTTCAACATAATTTTTTTGTTTTCAAGAGCTGCTGCTGCTGAGTTGCTCACACGTCGGGTGACTGCAGCCAAATGAAAATGGGGAAAAGGGAAATGACAACTGTCATCCAGAAAAAAACTAAGTGGCCAGGCAAATCTACTAGATTGGAGGATCTGGATTGCCACCTAATAGTTGGGATAGAAACTACATCTCTGTGCTAATGAATTGCTGAATCGTTGAACACTACCGTTCAATCGATTAAAAGCGTTCTAATAGAAGTAAAAAGGTATCATCTGGTAACAATCCAATAGAAAATATTATTTGTCAAATAGCTGATTTCCTTGATATTTAATATTTAAATAAGTAGCGGAAATATATTTAATAAATTTATTTTTAAAAATGTTTTTAAAGCAGGAACTCAGAAAGTTTGGTACGATGAAGGAACCTTAATAAATAGTTATAGCTTTTTAAACCCTTGCAGAGGGATTATAATTTTGGTCAAAAGTGTGCAACGCAGTGAAGGAGACATCTCCGACCCTGTAAAGTATATGTATTCGTGATCAGGATCGCCTCCTGAGTTGATATAAGCATGTCCATCTGTCTGTTTCTACGCAAACTAGTCTCTCAGTTTTAAAGATATCGAATTGAAACATTGCACTTACCCTTATTTCCTTTGCTCGCAGTATATAGTCGGAACAGCCGGGATCGGCCGACTATATCCTATAGCCGCCATACAACTGATTGATCGGAAATGTCATAACTTTGGTGTTTTTAAAGTTAGGAAGTTGGGATTTTCTATGGGTTTTATTTTTGGCCAATCAATCCGACCTACCAAATTTCATAAGGATTGGTTGACTATATCCTATAGCCGCCATATATCTGAACGATTGGAAATGCCATAACTTTGGTGTTTTTAAATTTTGGAGAATATAATTTATAGAATATTCTGCAAGGATATTTCAACTTCGGCTCCGCCCGAAGTTATCTTTCCTTTCTTGTTAAAATTCAAATAATCTTTAAATGCGTAAATAATAAAGTAAGAATTTGTTTATGATGATTTTACTTTTGTGTATCTTGGTTTGTGTAATTGAATCAAATTGATCAAATAATTTTCTGAAATTACCACCAGAGATTTTATTCAATTGGAAAATGAATTTGGTGTTTTTTAAAATTCGAAAACTGAAGATGGGACTTCTGATGGAGCAGAATGTACTCATATATTTATTTAGTTAGCTTTAAACATAAATGGTAAAAGATGAGCAGCAATTTGATCGTGTAGGTGCTTCTATATTCAACTAAAAAGGAATTTGGGGAATACTGTTAATTCGGTTTTATATTACCAAAAATCGAAATCTTACTTTAATTGAATACTAATTTTAGAATTTGTTCATATACATTGACTGGTTGTGTTCCTATTGGCTATATAATATAACTTTCCGATTTTTATTAAATAAAACCTTGTTTCTGATATTGTTTAATTATTTTCAGTTCTATGCGCATACGTTTAAAAACAACAATTCCTTTGGTAGCCTTTTGTTATAGCACTAATCATACAACATTGTATGTTGTATGGTTAGTGGTTATAGCTAGCTGATATAAAAAATGATCTTTTTTAAAGTTTCATGAAAAAAACTTAAGTCTGAGAAATTTATTTGCATAGAATTGCATAGGTTCGTTATGCAAATCATGGTAAAAACCTGTTATTCTTTTCTGCTTTATAAATAATTTCAAAATAAGTTCAATTTTTTGAAAAAAAAAATTAAAAGTCTGGGATGTGACATCGTTTGGCAATATATCGGTAAGTATCGATATGGTCAAATGTCTAGCACCATCGATAGTACTGCTTCAACATCGTTTTTTTTTCACCTCTAGGTGTGTGTGTGTGTGGGCGCTCTACGGATGTAAATTCTAATACCCGATAATTAGCAAAGTCGAGCCAAAGTGTCCCTTATTGCAACTGTCATGCTCTGGCCGAAGCTAAGGCGCCTTCCCCGTTGAAATTGAACCACGAGCCAAGGAGTCCTACGTCTACGAGCAGGAGCAAAACAAAGTAAAACGCAATTCCACTGCGATGGCGACGAGTGAAGGGGCGAGCGAGTGTTGAAAAAATCGGATTTTATATAGGAACTGGCCAAAAGTCGGCATAAACAGTCAGTCAAAAGCACGGAAAACCATAATCAAGTGAGTGAGCAGTGGGTAAACGTGAATAAAAGTCGGAAAAGCACAAGAAATCACTCAGCTGCTTTGTTGTTGTGTTAATTAAACGCACACACACATATGCACAAATGCTCGGGTCCCAGTAGAAACGCCTGAAAAAAGCATAACAAAAGCGAATATACGAAATTGAAGTACATTAACTTGTGGCTGCTGTCTTCAATTGGGCGCATTATCACTTATCCTTTGGGGTTTTTCACCTGTAACCCACGATTGTGAACACTTCGGGGAACATATGTACATACATTCCTACAAAAAGAAAACCTTGAAATCACATTCGTGCCTTGTAAAGTTCAAGGTGTGTGTGCGTCAGTGTGTGTGAGTGTGGGTGGGAGGGCGCTGCGTGTGCTGTGTAATGTGTAATTCAAAAACAAAGCGAATTAACGCGAATTTCACGGAATTCAGAGTCTAAAACGTTCCTAATTGAGAAACTTACTATCGATGTGCCAGGACAATTTGGGTACTTGCATATGCTACACCTGTTTGTTTTACTAATTTTTTAAAACAAACATTTTGCAAAATATGTTTATTTGTAGGTTTTTCAAATTTTAAAAAAGTTTGTTGATAAGTAAAAAAGTTAACCAACACTTTAAATGTACTTTTGTTGTATTTATTTAAAAAACAAAACTTGTAATTAATGTTAAAATCAAAAGCTTAATGATTTAAAATCATATTAAATAAAACAGGCTGAATGTTGTTACAGAGCAAAGCAAAGGGCTGTACAAAATATATGGTCATTTAATTTCATAAAATGTTGTATAAAATAATGTTTAAATGTAATTTCTTTCTTGACAAATTACATTTATATTTTTTTAACAATTAATTTTGGATGTCTCTTTCTTAAAAAGTGATATCATGTTGAGTCTCTTTTCTTAATTCTTTATGTTTTATGACTGTTAAATTGCCTTTCATGAAATATATTAGTAAAATGCTAGGATTACTGAGTGATTAGTAATTCATAGCAATCCCTAGAGCGAAATGCTGCTAAACGCACGCGCCTCCTCAGATTGAATTTCGCATTGGAACACCATTTGTCGGCCTCCCATTTATTGTTTACCCATCCAATAAAAATAAAGTCACGTTCTCATTAAAGCCTCTGCTCCGTTTGTCTATCGATGTGCTAAAGCCTGTGACGTTCTCTTTGTTAAATCGTAAATTTAATACACATTTTGTGACATATTTGCACACAGTTCCCGGGTGTGTGTGCCAAACATATTAGCAGATACAATAATTTTTCGTAAAAAACTTTCCACATTTGTTTCTCTTCCATTTGTGGATCCAACAGCGTTCTGGCGGCGATTGGTAAATGGGAATCCGAACTGGGTGTTATCAGCAAAAGCTGCTCGTGACTCATCTGGTTTAAGCCGGCAACAGAACTCTGTATTAGTTTTGATTGCTGCAGCTGCCCCTAATATCTCGGTCACTATTGGATCGCGATAAAATCAATTGGTGGCAAATTGAGCTCAATAACACCAATACAGCAAAATGCGTTGATTTTTTATGTTAGGTAAGAATAAAGTGCATTCGCGAGAATCTGAACTGAGGAAAGCTGAGTCAACAAAAAAAACAGCTGTTTGACAGAAGCTGCACCAGCATGACTGAAGAAACGATACATTTTTCAGAATCAAAGAATCAACATTACCCCCAGTTGCTCGTGAAATAAAAAAACAATGATCATAAGCCGTTTATCTTATCAGCTGAACTGTTTGTTTGCCAACGACGCGTTGATGGGAGGAGTATATGCAGGCTCCTCATTATATATTTAAATTTCTTATTCGGTTACCTGTGGAAGTATTTGTGTCTGGGTTTTTGCAAAGAAGATTACATATTAAATTTTTAATTTTTGTGTGCAAACCATACTTATGTTTGTTAAAACTTCATAAGAAGCATCTCAAGGTGCAATCCATATTTATCAGTTGTTTAACATATTTGTCTTCTTCTTTTTCAGACCCAAATCCAAAGGCACAGAATCGCTGGCGGTTACACACAGATGAGACATGCAAATAGTGCGGATGGTAAAAACGAATCGCAGCAGCAGTGGACATAGCGGACTAGAGCAATAACAGTATAGGCGAAGACCCGATCGTCTCTAGAATTAGTGTCCTGGGTGACAGAATGAGGAGTGGTCACATACTCGCCCTGCTGGGTTTCTGCCTGGTCTGTCATGAGGCGACAGTGGTCGGGGGTCATGTGCTGGTATATCGAAAAACCACGAGCCAGGTAATTTTAATAAGGGCAAGCTGATAAAAACAAACGGAAGTTTATGCTTACATATATTTGAAACTGAAATGAGAGATGACAAAATTTGATATTGTTAACTTTCAGTTAATTGAGGAATTTAATGATCTGCCAGCACAATTCGGATCCGAACTGCCTTCAAATGGTCTTAAAGTCTATGTAGTTCCCGCCAGGCGCCCTTACTACGGTTGTGATGGTCTGGACAGACCCCCGCACTTGAATTACCCACCCACAGCCAAATTTGTGGCACTAGTATCGCGGTGAGTAATATAAATAAAATATAAACGCATTGTTTTGTCTTAATTCGGATCTTTTGCAGCGGTGGCAAATGCACATTTGAGCGGAAGGTACGAGTGGCCCAGAATGCAAGCTATTCTGCTGTGATTGTTTACAATAACGAAGGCGATGATTTGGGTAAGCAAGCGCTCATCTGTAAAGAAGTCGAAAAATAAATAGCACTGGGATTACAACTACTTTAGAGTGTTGCATATTTTAATACACGTTGTTTGAGATTGAGCTTAGCTTTTCACTGTAAAGGGTATTAAAAATATTTTTCAACAGTTTAAACCCTTGTGATAAAGTGGGAAAATAATTTTATTTTGGTGTTGATTATTTTGTAGTAAACCTGGAGTAAGCATCAATCTATTTGCCCAGTATTTTCTATTTCTACCCAAATTGCAGAGCAAATGTCCGCCGACAATTCTTCGGGCATATTCATACCATCGGTTTTTGTTGGCCACACGTCGGGAAAAGCCCTGGCCACTTATAACACACCCGAGGTGGTGCTAATCATTAACGATGAGCTGCCCTTCAACATCAATACCCAGCTGATATTGCCCTTCTCCATACTGATTGGCCTATGCTTCATTATCATGGTGAGATTTCCGAAGCTTAATCGCTTGTTTTCGTTCTGACTGGATTTCATTGTTTGTCGGATAGGTTATCTATATGATCTACAAGTGCATCCGCGAGCACCGCCGCCAGCGTCGCCATCGACTGCCAAAGAGCATGCTGAAGAAGTTGCCAGTGCTCCGATACACCAAGAATAATGCGAACAACAAATATGACACTTGCGTGATTTGTCTGGAGGACTTCATTGAGGACGATAAGCTACGTGTGCTGCCCTGCTCTCATCGTAAGTGAACTTCTTCATTAAAACTTAGTTGTTTAGTAAGTTAGAAATAGAATGATAAGACCATAATGATGACCTATAAGGAAAACAACAGAACTCAGCTTACAAACAACTTTAGGTTACAGACAACCTTTAGCATGTTCTTTGTATTTTTAGTTTTGTTTATGTCAATCCTTGAATTAAACACCCTTCATTCTTTTAGCTTATCACACACACTGCATCGATCCCTGGCTTACCGAAAACCGGCGTGTCTGTCCCATCTGCAAGCGCAAGGTTTTTACGAAGCGCGAAGCGCGTGCAAGTCGGAGTCGACAGCCTTCTTTGGATAATGTCACCGATACAGATGATGATACCACGCCGCTGCTGCAGCAGCAGCAGTCCAACGGTAGACAGACGTCCCAGGTGAACTCCGCCTCCTCGGCTACTGGAGTAGCTGCCGGGAGCAGCTCGAGTGTTGCTGCGGCGGCTGTCGCCGGAACTACACGGCACGGTACCTTTCGACGTGGAGATGGTGGTCAAAATCCCTTTGAGGAGTCGCAGAGCTCTGACGATGAGAACGGTACGTCTGCTGCCGAAATTGATTCCCTGTCTGTTGAAATTGCTAATCGCCTTGCTTGGGCAGCCCTGCTGGACTATGCTGTACGTCCGGCCACGTCTTCTGGAGCACAAGAACGCATCAATCCCTTCGATCGTGCTCCTAATCTGCCGGCCCACCTAGCCGAACAGTTAACTGAAGTTCGACCCTCGGTCTGGTCGCGCATCAATTTTTTGTAAGTATAAATTTATTTTTAATTTCGATTTATTTATATCTAAAAGCAATGCTTTGTCATGACCTATAACTTACATATTTAATATGAGTTAATTTTGCCACAATTATGTTTTTATTAAAATCCATAAACTAAATAAACTTTTACTTTCTTTAGCTCGTTCTTACGCCGCCAACCGACTGCGATTAGTGTGGCGGCGCCACCATTTCTGGAGCACGTTGAGTCCGGTACCAGTGTCATAGGACTGCCGGCAACGGGGACAATTGCTGTAGCCACGCCCGCATCGAACAACATCCTAAATCCGAATTTAAGCGGCTCCTTCAAGGACGACGAAGATATGCCACCGCATCGCTCGATCTACGAACCGATAGCAATCAGTACGCCTGCGGCAGACTCGGCAGCCGTCGACGAATCGGCGTTCCTGCAAACGCCCACGCAGGGAGGCATAGGCGTGGCTGCCCTGCCGCACAGCGCCTCCGATCGCCAGTTTCTCATATGAGGCGAGTTAGTTCGCCCAGAGTCCTTTGCCTGGAGGTTGTCGGTGATCGCCGACTCCCGAACCACAAACCCGGTTCCGAGTTTTTTATTGGGGTTTGCGATCAATGCTGTGGCTGCCAGCTGCTTTGTTTTAAACAATTAACAAATGTTTATTATTAATATTAATAAATATGTAGCCGAACCTTGTGTTGGACTGTGCGCTGTCCAACTTCCAGGACACCCACCCACAAACACCCACACAGACACAAAACACTCGTCATTTATATGCGTATACAAATTGTGATTTATTTTATATACATTTTACAATTAACCCGATTGGCATATTAGATACCGCCTCGCTGCAAACTCTCAACCAAAAATTTAAACAATATATGGAAAACGAAGAATACCAACTTACCTATCAATTAAGATTTATTTGTTTACCTGATTCGCATTAATCATTGGTTCTGTTTTTTCAAATCAAGCAACACTCAGACACACCTATTAAACTGATTCACTAAAATAGTCATGTTTTATTCAATAAGTGGTTGTTTTATTTCGATGTTTTTGAGAACTGTTTTCCAACAAAATCACAATGAAATTAGTTAAAACGCATGATTATGTGGAATTGGCCCGTATATTGTACATTATTCTCGATTTAACTAATTTTAAGTTTACTATATAGAATATAAAACTAAATCTAATGATGTAATAGATTTTCAAACCCTTTTTTAAAAAAGGAAAACCTTTTTTTTCCAAATATGATCAAATTATATTTCAAGTCAAAGTCGTTGCCACACTCCACTTAAAGTAGAAATCTTAGGCGCTAGTTTGTGATTATTTTCCCAAAAAAAAAATACATGCAACCAATAAAAGCTGTTCACAACAAAACGAAATCAATTAGGGCATAGATGCAGATATATATTTAAAAAAGCTGTGGCAGTGTAATCTAAATTTAATTTACATTCAACCAAATAAACGTAATGGATATAAAATAATAAATTGCTTTTTCTTACAAAATAATATATATTGTTCAACCATTGAATCGTAAAAATGGAACAGTAAATTTATAAGATAAAATTATGGGCTGTATTTAAGGGTATTTTTTTAATTTGCAATATTATTATAAATTAAAAGCGTTTGTCTGGTCGGGATCTCAATCTGGACTTTTTTGAAACTTGCTTTAACGCTTCACGCTGTGATATGCTATGAGCATCCCTTTTTCGAACTATCAAATTTGATTTGCAAATTATTACAAAATTTTTTATTTATGCCACTCTGCATAGAGGCGGAAATATATTGGAGGCGGATCAATATCGGTTTATATTTATACCCTAGCAGAGGGTACTTTTCAAAAAGTAAAAAATTAAAAATAAAATTGTAACTTGATAGACATTTTGAACGACTTCAGAATTACGGGTTTTCTTTATATAAACAGGACGCAAAATTGTATGTCAAAATTGAACTATCTTCATTGTTTTTTTTAAGCATCGAAATCGAACTATAGAATATTTCACTTGATAAATATATAATCTTTTGCTTTCTTTGTTGTTTAAATTTTATGTGCTAAAGCAAAGGGTCAAAAGCGTTTTCGACTGCCATCACAACCAAGATACCTAAAATTTAAGGCATCTCCCAAAAATCTGGTCATAGTACCTCCATGGCATTTCCTCGGCAATTTCCCCTTCCATGTCAATCATGTTTGACGCCAGTGCAATTCTGACGGGTTTAGATATTTTAAATGATTCGTAGAATGATGTGCCTTTATAGGTGAGAACAAAAACGTCTCAACAATAACATCTATAGTTATATATTTTGAGTCGATCAGATAGTTATATTCAAGGTAACTGTAAAAATAAAAATCATCTGTGTCAATGCCATAACAAAACATAATAGTAAAAGGGATTCGATTAAACTCTCCTATTTTATTTCCTTATTTTTGTAAAATTTGGTTTTTAAGCTTTTTCAATGCATTATACTTAAATTGGCGCCTAGGAATTTTGTGTTTAATGTATGCCGAACATGGTACTTTAAAGTGGATAAATCGTTAGGTAATTTAAGAAAAGAAGACAGTCCAATAATCGTACAGAAAGTATGTAGAAGGAGATTATAAATGTTTTTATCTGTTCGTCCGTTTCTTTGTAGAATTCAGTAGTCTAGCAAAAAAAAAGAAGCTAAACACAACAAAATGTTGATCCTTCTAATATGTAGGTAAGTATTTCGATAAAATATTGGTAACTAACATTTTAAATACTCTTTTTTCCAAAAACAATGTAATTATGACTTTGAATTTACATAGTTATCCAAAAAAGGTGTGAATCTGGACATTTAAAAGGAACTTTACAAATTGTGAATCTGAAGAATTGAAGCAAACTTATCGTGGGTAGTAAGTAATCAATGGTGACCTTATCCCTCCACCCGATCGTTCGTTAGAAAGTATTATATTTACTGTTAACATTTATTTAAACCCTTTGTCAGCCAAACCAATTGATTGCTCAAATTAGAAAGGTCCCTTAAACCAAAAGTTAATAAAACACTTTTTTTAAATATTGTGTTGACATTAATCTATATTTTTTAAGTTTTGTACAAGCTGGGAAAGTCTACAGCCGTTCAAATTAACATATACGAACTGTGTATACATTGGTATGTATATGTTTTTTCCACTATTAAAAGTTAGTAAATTGGTAATAAGAGCTATTTAGTCGATCATTTTTGTAGGATTTTCTTGTTCAATCAACTACCAGTCTGCAGGCATGCAGCCTGCAATGGGACAGAATTTGCAATGTTTTCGGGACTGGCAAACCCTGTTATTTAAGTTTTCCGATGGTGAATAAATTTCCGACTTATACAAAGTTTAATATTATATAATTTCAATTTGTTTTATAGTAATGTAAATATTTTTTATAGATTATACATATATGATGTATGTTCAAATATAGTTGAGTAATGCACGGAGACATGTCAGCATTTTTAAGTTATTACATAGTTTAAATCAATTTTGCTACATTTTATGCGAGAGTGTGGTGTGATGATTAGGTGTGTGATAAGACGTAGGAGTATGGATGTTTTGTACAGTTTCTCGATAGTGTGTGTTCGTATTGATAATTGATACAATTTCAGTTAAAAATAATTGTAGTAATCGTTATTGATAAGCTATATACAAAATATGCACTTTATAACTTAGTCTAACTAAATAACGTATGAACCACTCGGTAGATGAGATGGTGGCCACCAATCTGACCAAGTTCACTTGACCACCAGCGATTGCTTCAGATGTCTCACAAGGCCGGACCCAATATCCTGAACATCCGGCCACTGTCGTATCACAAATATGACAAAACAAATAGACAAAAATGTGGTAAGAACGCGAATCCTGGAAATAAGTATATTAATGACCCGCATAGTGGCACAAAATTCACCAATAGTTACCTAGTTTTCAGAAAAGGCATTATGATGCCTGCAGCAGTGGCCACCAGCAGGAGAACCACTTGCAATATCGTTAATACCACATTGATGAGTTTCACAACCAAGGCTCGTGCATTGGAATTATCAATGCCCTCGACGGTGACATATTGTTGCTGCGACATGTGCTCCATTTTTGATATCTGTGAAAGAACGCGGTTAGATTCGGTTTACATTTGGTTGCGATGGGGTTGGGTTGGGACTGGAGGCTTAAAACGTTCAAACTTACCCTCGTTTGACAGTTCTCGAGCACTTCGTTGACGTCACGTAGTCTTTCATCGCTTTGGTATTGTACTTTCTCCTCCATGTCGGCAATCGTTTGCTTCAGATTCTCAATTTCATTCTGTCAAACAAAGGTGGCAAAGCATAAGCACGAATGTCGGGCAAACTGCCAAGGCAGCAGCCAAGTGAACTACGAACCTGATGTAATTCCGTCAAGTCGTTGATTTGCTCCTCGAGTCCCTCGGCACGATAGCGTTCACTTTCGAGTGTGGCGGTCAAATTGTTGAATTCCTTTTGGCCCGTCTACCGAAAATATAATATAGGTTAAATAAAATATTGTTGGTAATAGAGCTGTGATACCCCCAGGCTTTCTACGTACCTCCAGCCGTTCGATGCGTTCCTTAAGCTTCTCGTTCTCGGCCTTTCGCTCGGCCAGCTCTGTTAGCAATGTCTTGAGCACTATGTGGTATTGGCTGGCACCAGACTGGCTTTTGCCAGACCTTTTAGTGATAAATAAACAGAATTAGCAGGGATTTTAACACGATACTATTTTATCTTGATCAATTGAATGGATTTTGAAAATAAAAGAAAAAATCTTTAAAGGTTTTAAAATGCTTCAGAACTGACAAAAAGGTTCCCACAAACAAAAACGTAGTGAAAACGTCATAAATGTATAATTTTTCATAGTTAATTATAGTCGTAGAATAATTTGTATTTTTCGAAGCTGGGAAAGTCTACAGCTGTTTGAATTAATGTATACAAAAATGAAATTATAAAATTATAAAAAATTTTTAATGAGCATGTAAGGTCCATCCATTAACGCGAAGCAGTACAATTTCGGATTTCTCAAATTTTATTTTTGAAATCGGTAAACACTTTATTACGAAATATTTAAACATAGTGTCATTATATATTGATAGACTAACGACTTTATTTTTGTATAAAACTTTTTTTCGTATTTCCTTGTTTGGTTTTTCTTTCAATCCATCAATAAATTTAACAAAAAACAGCTGGTTTTAATAATAATAATATTATTTATTGGTAAGGTCTTACCCTCCTGGTATACTTTCGCTGGTCACGCTACTGCATTCACTGCCATTGTCACTGTTAAATTTTCCCGTACCGCTGCCCGCTCCACCTATGTTGTTGTTCTGTCCACCGCCACCCGAACCCGTTGAGGTACCGGCTCCTGGCACTTGCTGCAGTCGCTCACTGCCCGCCAATACGTCGGCATTTGTGGACTGCATGCCCTGCAGCTCGGCGTCGCTCATCTGGTTGATGTTGTCGGCGCTACCAAACTTGTTCTTGATCAGATGCGCAAACTCCCTTGGCTTGGACATCACGGACCCCGAGAAGCCGGTGATGCCATCGCGGATATTGCCCCCTACATTGCGGAGTCCCTGGCCCACATCCCGCAGGACTTCACGAGGCTGACGGTGCTGGCTCTTCGTCTGGAACTGATGATTCTGCAGATCCTTGGCCCTTTTTGTGTAGTTGTCCAGCTTTTTTTGCAGCTGCGAAATGTTGTGTGCGCTCTTCTGGTTCTTTTTCTCAAAGACAGCCTGTCAAGGAGTATCAAATTGAGGAAGATGCTTTTAAGGGGATAAATGGATGAACAAACCTTGATACGCTGCAGCTGCTGTTTGTCTGCGCTGGCTGCCAGCTTCAGATACTCATTGACATTATCTTAAATGGGTGAATTGAAAGATATTAATTAGATAATTTAACTAGACAATATTTATTTTCCTAATTGTGAAAACTTAAAAACTTTTAACCCTTTATTGATCATTTGGTTGTTTTTTTGTTAAGTGTTGTTGTATACTATTGTCCTGGAAATTGTTATAATTTAGGTACGATTTTACTCACCATCTCTGGCAGTTTGCTCCTGGCGGATGGACTCCTTGGTGCATTGGATCTTTGTGTTCAATCGGTCTATGGCCTGGGCGCTAGAGCTGCGTTCATGGCAGCGGCGGTGGACCTTCTTGCTGCCGTCGAACTCGTCTGACACAAAGGAGGAGTAGTAGTCCTCGTTCCCGGACAGCCGGGAGTCCTCCAGGCCGCTGCCTGTGCCGGCGCTTCCTCCTCCCCCTCCACCTTGCAGTGGCCCCATGAAATCCGTCATGTCGGTCACTCCGAGACCGCTGTAGGCCAGCAGGCCGCCCTGATCAGAGCCATGGGTGCGCCGTTGGCGTTCGCGACTGCGGCGTCGGTGGGTGGGACTGTGGCTGCGGAAGCCACGAGCCGCCACCCCGCCGCTGCCCAAACTGCCGGTCACCGTGTTGCCGCCGCTGTAGACAGCCGCCTGTGCAGCTGCCACTGTGCTGGATGAGGCCGAGGAATTGCTGTTCGTGTTCGCGGAGTTTGCTCCGGACCCAGAAGTGGCACCACCAGCCGCCGATGTTATCGCTGCCACAGGTCCTCCACCCGATCCTCCCGCGGATGTGGCAGTCGCCCCTCCCGCTGTCGCTGCTGCTGTCTGTGTGGCTGCCGCTGCCTCGCTGGCTCGCTCCCGGGACACTGGCGAATTGTGGCGCATAGAAAAGTACGTCTTGGGTTATTTTCTAAGTCTAATCTGTGTTTTTTTTGTTTTTAAATTCTGTTGATGAGGCGCGTTTTAGCAATGCAAAAAAAAAATTGTATCACATATAGTTTATAGTATGAACGAGAGGTGGTGATGGAATTAATTATCTGCTGGGTATTATTTTTAGCTCACTGTAATTGTGATGGAGTGAGTGAAATTTAAATTTACATTTGTTTATGCAATTTGATTATTTTTTCATGTTTTTGTATTGTTATCTGTTTGGTTTAAACTCACAATTTTTAGAGGTATTATTTTGCATACAATTATAAATTCAATCTTGTTTAAAATATTTGGTTATCCGACTCGGGTTTTTGTCAAATTAGCAAACTTGTTTTTATTTTTGTTGTCCTTTGTTAAAGATTTATGTTTTTAAAGATAATATTTGAGAAATTTTGGAGATTTTAAAATTATGATTTATCAATTTAATATTTTAAGGAATTTCGATTTTATTTAACTCTTTCATTAGGTTTTAAAGTTGCTGTGATTAGAGTTCCAAGTGTACAATGTGCCATGGATAAGTGTTTCAAAATAGTTATTTCACATTTTTGATTGACAGTTGGACAACCTGTGCGTGAGCCGTAGAAAGAGATATACAAACAAGAAAAAATAGAGACAGAGAGCGGGAAAAAGAAGAAGCAATGGCAGGCAGTTTAATAGCGTCTAAAATTGCGTGTTATTCGCTGTGAATAGAACCAAAAGATCAGTTAAACGATTATGTGAATGAGTGCGTGGGTGTACAGGTGAAAGTGCTTGCATTGTGTATTTAACTTGCAAAACAAATGTATTTAAATTATATTGGTATACCTACATTTATCAATGAGACTGATTGGTTTGATTTGATTTGCAAGTGTAGATAGTTAGGCAGGCTAACATTCAACGGTTACAAAGCTAAACAAGGAAAAATAAAAAATAAGTTATAAAAAACATGTAAAGTGTGAAATCAAACAGACAGCAGATGTTAGGCACAGTCAAATGAAGTAATATAATGAACGAAAGCACTCAAAAGTAGGCTGTACTTTTTGATTTATACATAGCTATTTGTAAGCTGGTTGATGCCGAACTCATAACATTGCGAATAATGGGCGTAAAGGGGGTGTTTGGGAGGGCTTTTGGATTCTTACAGATGAGTCATCGCTCATCATCTGGCGGGGTTGTAATTTTTGGGTTCGAACATACAGAGAACGCCTGGTAAAAGGATATGCGTTGTGAAAAGACATCTTTATTTAATATAGTTTATTTTTAATTCAAATTCGTATCTTAAGAATTTAAAAAAAAAACCGATTTCCATAACAAAGCCCCGACGAAATGAAAATTCATATACAAAAGTCACTTTTGTAAACTTCTAAAATTCCCCAAAGAAAATTGCTATATTTTAAAATAATGGAAATATAATAATAAAATTGTAAGCAATAAAAAATTTAGATTTCGTGTGGAAAGTGATTCTGCATACAATTTTTTTAGTCCAAGATTTCAGATTAAAGTGTTGCACAAACGATAAAAGTGCTCTTCTATCTTAAACATTTAATTTTCTACAGCTCTACAAACTATTCGATGGCGGAAGAACAAATTGAATAGGACGCCCACTGATAGCATTCCCCATTTAAATAGAGCTCGACAACCTCATCCAGGCCCTCAGATTGACATTAGCCCCGTTGATAAGATGCCGGAAGTACAATCTTCAACACGAGCCAATCATTCCAATTATGCGACTAACTAATGGAAAAGAAGGGTCCCAAGGAGGGGATAGTGCTTCAGGGAGAGGAGTCCGGAGGATTAATAACCATAATTGATAATTACTTTGCTCGGTGCTTCGGCTGGCTGAGGGTGAGCGACTAGAGCGCAGATTAGTGCTGGATCCGCGAGACGGACGCAGAGGCTGCAACGTTAGGAAATCCCGATTTTGGATCGGATTAAAAGCCGCATTAGGCGTGGAGTCCATTATTGCACACTGCCATTCGATTACCACGATTTCGTTGCCTGCAAAGAAACAATGGACGCGAATAAATAACAATATTTTCAGAACATTTTCTAGGCTAGGTTGCAAAGTCTAAAGGTGAATCAACTGCCTGCCAGCTGATAATCCGCGCATAATCGGAATATATTTTTATATACAAGTGTGAAGAAAACTAGAGCACATGGAATTCTCTACATTCCTAGCATTTCGTGGCATATGGAATTCATCTTGTAAATTTAAATACCCAAAAATACTGTCATCACTGACACTTCAAGTGCTTCGCCTTCAGATATGTATACAATCTATTCTTAACCAGATAAGGTAGCAATTTGTTAGAGATATTGCCCCTAGCTACCAACTGCCTATATCGGCAAACCTTATATAGATTGATTATATGATTATATACATTCTCCGTCTGAAAAGTGTAGAACTCAAGTGTCATGGGCGGCATGCCAATGATGTTGGTTTGTTGGGGAGAGACTCTAATAAAGTCGGCAGACACATCATCGTTTTCAGTGTGTGAGTGCCACCCTGATATGAATTGTTTACTTAATTATAAACATTTATACATCAGAGCCTTTTTGTTTGCTTTGTTGTCCAGCACACCCAGTTGAGCTCTCCTCCCATTAATAAATTCCACTGCATACAATCCGCCCGATGAAATATCCCAAATTCCATTAAAGTTATGTATGCTTTTTCCAAGTGAATCGGCTAATCTTTGGTGTTTTTGTTGAGCTGGAAGCCCTTTCGAGCGTAATCAGCTTTAATGGATGCCACATTCACGCCCGCCGAAGACCTACCCCATTGTTACTTCACTTGAACCAATTGAGAATCCACAAGCACTTTCTACTCGCGTTCCGATTTTTCTTTATGCACTTTAAATTTTTCGGGTAATTTTCCGTTGGGTAAATCCCTTTAAGCTCACCCCCACAATCGCACAAGTTCAGACATTTTAACAGTCTATAAATTTGCATTGTAAGCCCTCGAGCTGTGTGGCCAACTTAGCTATTTCTTAGCTTTATCTAGCTATAATTTAAAACTATTTTTTAAAGCCCGCATCAATTTTCAGCATACGGACATACAAAAATATATATTACGAGCAAGGTACTAAGATTTGTTCGCTTTTAAGCAATTGTTTGGAGAGAACTCCCAATAATAGATAACTTTGAGTTTAAAGACATTTTAAAATATAAAGCTTTAAGAATTAATTACTATTATAATACGGCAGTTTGAGTTCAGAGAGCTGTCAATTTTTATACATGTGGTATTTCTGTTCCTAAATGTATAGCTCTTTGTCAAATAACAGTTTTGGATTGCTCTTATTGATTGATATAATCATAAAAAAATTGTTATCTTTTTATGCAAAGCTACTTTCTTTGTACTTATTTTTAATCTATGGCTATAAACTGAGGAGTGAGTGAGAGAGGATATGGGACAGAGAAAGAGAGTTGAAGATGGTCTTCACTCAGTCCGTTGCGCTTTCAACCCAAATGCTCATCTGCACTTGACTGCTCCACAGCTGATGGGTCTGCGGAAGAGGGAAGTGGGTGGGAGGTTCGGTGCCTTTGGCTACGACGATTTGCTGTGTGAATCGAGCATAATCATTTTTCTTTGTGCCCCTTTCTTTCGGTTTGTTTGTGAATTTTAATCAACGTATTTTGTAACCTTCTTCTGTTTTTCGTGCTTTGTTATTCCCGCGACTCGCGTCTCTTTCGCTTTCTTACGCAGTTTTTTTGTTCGTGTGCTGACTGATGTTTAAACAGAAAACAAAACAATAACAAAATAACAATAAGCGCATTGAAATTATATATCAAGCGAAACGAAGAAAGACCGCCACGAATAAGGAATGCTCTTTCTCAGATTTACAAAATTTTTAATTATTTACGAACAATCTTAATTGGAAATATAAATTTTAAATTTAAAATGATATTCCAACTTTCGAATGATTACAATTATTTTCCGAGTTTAATTGTGTTAATGAATAATATTTACACTTTTTAATAAGCTATTAAACATAGTGTTATAAACGAAAATAACATAGTCCCCTAAAGTAATCTTATCAATTCTTTTAGTAAGTGAAGAAAAAATGTGAATTGAAAAAATGTTCAGGGTCACTGCACTCGCGACTTTGAGACGCATGCTGTCGGAGTCTATAATATCTCGTATCTCCCTCTTGCTGATGTTTCCCATTTTCAGACTTCTGTTTGGAAAAAGTCGCAGTTTGTTGCGATAAGAAGTAGTAGGACAGAGCAACCACATCCCAGAGAAATTCGGTTATCAATAGTCTGTCTTCGAGTGCACATGAACACCAGAGATCCATCAATGGGAAACGATTGGAACTTCCGCATTCTTTATCTCTTAGCAAGGAATGGAGCGTCCAAAGTCCAGAGATTGTTAATCAAAGGCAATACCTATGACATTAGGTAATGCATTATCATAAACATAGAGACTATCAAAGTTATAGCACTGCAATTTTAAATCGTGGGATGTTTTTCTTTTTTGTATTTTACATTAACTACAATACGGCTGCTTTTGTAAGCATATAAATATATCAAAAAATAATATAATTTAAATATTGTTAAAAGCAGTATTACGTTAATATATATAAAGGCCAATTTTCTATCTTACAATTACTTGCTTAAAACATTTTTACAAAACATACTTTAATTGTTATTATTAGACCCACACGTATACATATGTACATGCATATTTACATACTGAGTATGCAGATTCAATTATGTCAAGACGTTTGCTAATGACTCGGTACTGAAATACCACAACGTTCTACAGTACAACATCTCGGGATTCCGACTTGGCAGCGCAGCTGGTTATCTTCTGTGAAGGTCACCACGCTTGGATTATAAATATAAAGAGCCGCATTAAATTATAAGTCCGTGCATACAGACGGCAGCCAGTCAACAAGTAATTACACGACCGTCTCTCGGTCTGGTTTGCATTCCCACCCAGTCTCTCTATGTCCACCCCCCTAAAAGGCCCCTCTTTCTACATCACCCTATGAACCGTGAGTAATTTCTATCATTAGCCAGCATGTTGTTGCCTTTTATAGACTTTGGTCCACATTTCTGGCATCTGAATAATGTTGCACTCGACTGTCTGGAAAATTTCCAATTCAAATGACCTCACGATTTACTGTTTATTTCAATAAGAATACACTCATTTGTTCCAAGAGCTCTAGACGATTGAAAACTATTAAGAAATACCAAAAACTTTTTCAAGGTTTGACTATGTAAAATATTTTGGTCAAAAGAATATTTAGGATCTCAGATATGGATAAAATAAACTTACCAAATTAAAATTAATCCGTTTGAAATATAGATTGTTTACTCTAAACTTATAATTTTTTTTTAATTTGAATGTCTTTATACATACATGCTATAATAGGAGAGTCTCAGTATTTTTTTTAGAATGTTACACAAACACTATATTTGTATAATATTAGGTCAATCATATTCTTTCTCTGCATGCCTTATGTTTCCTTATCGTAATTTAAACTTTTTTATTTTTGCCCAGATTATGAAAGAGCGACAAAGCCCGACAGTATCATAAATGTTGTGCAGGTCAGGGTATTAAAACATATATATGTACACCAACAACCATTGAACTTCCCGCGAAGAATTGCAAAGTTTGCTCAACAAAACCAGTAAAAGCCAAGAAAAGAGGCCAAAGAAAACAAAAACAACTGAGTGAGTAAACTTTTGACTGTTGGCCCATTACCTCAACAATTTAACAAGACGCAATGTTGTCAATGTATTTTTTATAGATGTTACTTTACTGGCGTTGTTGTTTCAGCATTTTGCGTTGTGTTTTATTATTGCAGGTGTTTAAAATGCTGCTCGGGACAAGCCAAAGGTAAGTTGTAGCCTGCCAGTTTATTTTTTATTGGGGCTGACGACTTTGTTCTCATTTGTTTCCA